TATTCCAGATGTAAATACCAAAAAAATGAAAAATAAGTGAGAAATTACCTCATACAGTAGAATAAAGTTGGAAAAGTACTATGGTTTGGTAATTGATCAGTCCAAACACACACCTCGACTAATCTTTCCGAAATGGAATGCCAGAAAGAGAGATTTTTAAGAACAAACCTGTACATGTATATGTCTATTCCCTCCAAATTCTTCTTGCATGTGTAACAATTCTTCAGAAAGTCATCTCTGAGATTACGAATTGAACTGCCCCATTGATTAGCTACTTGATACGATTCGCCAACCTGCCCATTTGTCTCAGTGAAACTGGACAAGTCGCTTGGATGACATTCGAAAATATAGTCACAGAAAATGTGGGTTACTTTACGGTTTGGACCATGAAAACTTATACGGGTATATTCTTCTAATTGTTCCATCTCTTCCAAAGTAAGATCAAAAAAGCTTCGATGAAGAGGACTGGCTATAGGACATGGGGTATCTTTGTTCTGGGAACTAGTTTTGGAACTTGCATTAGGGTTTTGGTTGTATGAAAGGTTACTGGAACCAAACAAACAAGGTGAAACTTGATCGCAACGCCTAGAATTAGCATCTAAGCCACCTAAGCGCGATGATACCTCGATACTTCTAACGGAAGAATCTAAGTATAAATTTAGATGGCTGAAGGATGTGATGGCATTCATATTGAACTGTTGTCGAAAAACTATATTCTTGGAGGAGTTAATAATTTCCTCATATGGATTGATTTCATTAACTAGTGAAAATAGGATGCTTAGTCCTATCCTACTGCAATTCAATCTATCCGTTGGTGGTGTTCCTGAGGCTCTTGAGTAACTAAAACGAGACAAGTCGCAAAGTTTGGAGTAGTGATCATCCCTTAAATTCAAAGGAGAATTGGGGTTTCGAACTGAATCAGAATTTTGTGAATTATTGGTATAAGGCCATGCCGATAATGAGCTGCTCCAACGGATCCGGGCAATATACGACTCCAAATCAGCCAGATGAGTTACCATATTTCCCATTTGTTGATGGAATTGTGTAGAGTATTTTTGAAAACAATAACCAGCAAATCACTTCCTGCAATAAATACAACCAATTAATAGAACTTCATGACAGAAAATTAAAATTCAAAAGAAGCAGCAGCAGCTAGAAAGTGGTGTTAATTAACCAGATGCAAATTAACAACCATGAAACAAGGAAAAAAGCGAGATAAAGCATAGCTCTATCATGAGCTAGGCATAGATCAGAAACATGATACAAATACCCATGCCCGAATACACAAGTAGATCTATGAGTTTTGCATGAAATGGTAATCAAAACCAGGAAAAAGAAATGGAAAGAAAAATGCAAAGATGATCTTAATTAGCCACAAGCCCACAAAAAAACTGGATGGAAAAAAAACTTTGATTAATGGATTAGAGACATAATTCAAGAAGTTCTGAAAATACTTACGAATTTGAAGAACCCAAACTGAAGTACTTTCTCAATAATCCAAACAGGTGGCTTGGGAAGGTTGGGAATTGTTATAAACAAACCATAAAGAAAATCATTTTCATATATATACCCCAAAAAAGTTTTTTGAAGATCTACTCACATAGTTTTTTTTTTTTTTTTGAAGATCAACAGCTTTTTTTTTTGAAGCACCAAATCAACAATGCATCAAAATGGATATAAAAGTGTTGTCATTGAATTGAGTAGTGCAGCCAAACCACATGAAAGAAATGGAGCTTAAACCAGACCTGGTTTTTCCCTCTAAAATGTTTGGAGAACAGGAGCTAGCTTGAGAATTGAGAGTGAAAGATCACCCAACGGCAGTTTTTAATGAATAATTGCTGAAAAGTTGGTATCAAACTCGCCAACTACATCTCTCTCTCTCCCTCTAAAGCTGCACTTCCTTGTTTGTTCCTCTCTTTGCATGCATCAATTTCTGCAAAAAGGGGGAGCCTCTAAAGCTTCTTATATACAACCCTATTCTCCCTCTCCCTCACCCTCACTGACTAAGCATGGTTATGTAACCACATGTATTATCCACGTCACTCTATATACTAAACGATATTCTATATTTTTTAGAAGTTAATAAATAGGTAAGGTATCTTCTGCAGGGTATGTTTTTATTCAGACCCAAAAGAACCCAATCTAAACCATGTACATAGCCGCCATTACATTACATATACTATAAAGTACTGAACAAGTATAACAGATAAAATATTTGATGCCCCTAAGATTCTTCTACCATTGATAAAGCTTCCCATCAATGGTGTTGGTGAACTTATACGAGAAAAATAGGATGATTTCCTCTTACCTTTTTTGGAGCTATGTTAGGGGTTAAAGACAAAATTAGCTTGGAAAGGTTCCCAAGAATACTGACAAAAAACGTTTCCTTGATTTCTGTTCTTTTTTGGCTGTTTATTACCTAAAAAGTGAACGACAGTGCCTGTTGCCGGGGTAAGAATGAGCGCTAGATTTAAAAAATAAATTTAAAAGTTAGTATTGAGAATTTTAATCATGGATTTTATTGTGGATTCTAATATTTATTGAGATTCACTATCTATTCAATAGTTGAGATTATTAAATCTAAATTTTAATTCTTGTTTTTAAGTTCATCTATCATTACTCTTTAAGTATCTGCCCATTTTAAGATTGAGCAATCCTACATGAACTTAAAAAATAGACTTAAAAATTAAATTTGATAATTAGAACCATTGATTTCACTGTGGGTCCTAACATTTATTGTAACTCACTAATTATTCAATGGTTGAGATTATCAAGTCTAATTTTTAAATTCATCTAACATTATTCTTTAAGATTTGCCGACTAAACCATGAGAATTAAATAACATAACCACCCCCCACAGAATTCTTTATTCCTCACACTATAAATAGAATAGAACAATATATATCTCATACTGTGAAAATTAATATGGGATTCTCTTACAAATTAATGCTTGGAAGGTTGTTTGTTAGGCAGAATAATGGGTTTGTTGAAAATTTTATTTTTTCACTTGAATTTAATGGATAACCCTTGATTATTATGATAACTAAATATGTAATGCTCAGAAGTCACAACGGTATTTTATATAGTTAACAATTTATGAGTGATATGTTAACAATTTATGAGTAATATGTTAACGATCTTTTTCTTGATTTGTACTATTGCGTAGTCAACAATCTCTTAAGTATTTGTCAACGTACTTCTCATCTGATTTAACGGATGTCGAAAAAAATGACAATATTTGATCAGTTAATGGCAGCAATGCACTAATTACCAAAAAAAAATGTCGGACAACACATGCTTTCTAATTGATCGATAAACTAATAGAAGTAGTTTCGATTTTGGAAGCATACGACAATTTCATAGCTAGGTAGTTATTCTCTAATATTCAAGTATGTAAAAATTTATTATAAAATCTTGTATGGCATCTCTTCCAACAAACGTTATCTTTTCTTATTATTCCAATATCATCAATTGTACGAAAAAGGCGAAATTTTGTCATACAGAAATGAAAATTGAATTGTGAAAAACACATGTAATTATTACACATCGTTGCCTTTGGTCTTACCAATCAAGAATAATATAAGAATGTTTCGCGTGTCACGCACAAGTAAAATCGTCAAATTACTTGTGGCAATGCCCACATTGTGTCATAGATAACTTTGCAACAATAACATTTTTGTTTGAACTCTCAAGAAACCGATCTTAAGGTAATTTAAGTGATAATAAAAAAGAGAATTATAAATTTAGATGTTTCGAGTTCGAATTTTGGTAATATTTTGAAATTAGGTTGAATCCCTTCTAAATATTTTAGTATCGGTGTGAATGACCTATCTTTGATTCAATCGAGAAAAGAATTAATTGAAATACGTGTTAATTGATCCAAAAACTCTTGATATTTGAACCAACAAACACAATGCTAAAATCATTATCTTGACATTTGAAAAGAACAAATTGGGTCAAATGTTCAATATCTAACAAATTTCAATGTGAAAACACATATATGATTATTTCAATATTGGCCTCTTTATTTTGAATTACTGCGTAAATCTCTACTTGGGGATATAATATGGGAAAAGTAGAAATACCGCAGGGCATTTTGGGTAAAATAGCATTTGGTGGTTAGCTTGGTGCTAGTGGGCATTCAGCTACATCAGGACCGTTAATATCAGATGTGACCCCACCCCAGTGGACCCAAGGCATGAGACACGGACATAGCACTCTTGGCGTGCCTTAGCATCTTCAACTTTAGATTCCCCTGCTAATCTATCCTCAGGTCAGATGCGTCCACTTTCTTATTCGTGAAATTAGGGTTTCTCAAGTTAAAATTTGCCCTTTTTGTTTGTTCGTATTGATCTCCCTCTCGTGAAATTAAAATTTTGGGGATAGGGACACTTGAATTAAGTTTATAAGTGCGTGTTTTGTGTTTGATTTGCAGAAAGTTCGCGAATTTGAGATCCTCACGTATGGAAATTGTATGTTTGAGGTAAGAATCATTAATTTTGTTTTGTTGGATTGAAGTTCTATGGAAAGAGGCAAATTTGGTAACGGTAGAATTTTTAGATAGTTGGAGATAGCTTTCATGTTCTCCAGGCTTCATTAATTTGATATTGTACAATGGAGAAATAGGTAATTTGAAACTGAAAAATGGTTTTTTGGGCATACCTATAACTGCTTGTTGAGATGAGAATAATGGGAGTTCTTGTTTAGGAATTTGAATTCATTAGTGGGGAAATCATTTATTATTTGGGCTAGGGATAAGCTTTATGTGGGAATAATTTATTGTGCTGTATAGATAAGAGTAATAAATATTGCTGTTTTGGGTATGTAGTTGGTACTGCAAAAGACAAATTGGAGGTTTGGTTGATAAAGTTTGGTGTTTATTGGGACAGTGTGTTTATTTAGGGTGGAATGATAGGTTTTGTTTTTTCCCGAGTTAATTTGCAAAAATAATAAGTTAGGATATCGTTGAACTCTTGTCTTGTTATATCGTGCCTGCTTGGATGGATGACACTGAGGATGATGCGTGGTATCCACCAGACTCCTATGGGATGACTCAGGGTTACGGGTCATCAAATCGCCCGAAGCTTCCTGTTCGGAATGCTTCTTATCCTCATCATGTTGGTAATCAGTATGTTGAAGATGATGATATTGAGGAAGAAAAGTTCAATGAAGAAGAAGAAGAAAATGATGATGATGATGATGATGAAGACAATGGTTTTCATCGGATGGGCAAAGATGGGGATGATGATGAAGATGAAGAGGAAGAGGATGAGGATGATAATTACAATGGGGATGTTGGAGATGGTGATCTCCAAAGGCACCAAAAGAAGAGGAAGTTGAAGAGCCTGTTATCAAATTATGAATTTGCTCCTCGAGTACCACCTTCAGCAACAGTGGCTGCTTCAGCGCCAAAACCCTCCTTTGGTGGACGGAATTCACTTACAGATTGGACAGAACATGAAACATTTGTCCTTCTAGATGCTTGGGGTGACAGGTTTCTTGAACATGGGAGGAAGAGTCTTCGATCTGAGGAATGGCAGGAAGTTGCAGAGAAGGTTTCACAGGAGTCAAAGATCGATAGAACAGATACTCAGTGTCGAAATCGTTTAGATACACTGAAAAAGAAATACAAAAAAGAGAAGATGAAGTTAGCAGGGATTGGAAATCCCTCCAGTAAATGGGTATATTTTAAGAAGATGGATTTGTTAATGTCATCAACACCACAGCAAGCAGGCCTTTCATGTGGAGTGGACTCGGGTGAATATGTTTTCATGAACACCAGAGTCTATCTAAACCGTGCAAATGGATTAGATGAGATGAGGGATAGCCCAGGGAATTCTGAATCTGCAGAGGGTGAGGAAGATGATTCAGAAGGGATTCCACCCAAGAGGACACGGAATGGAGGGGAGAGAGTTGATGGAGCTTCCTTCAGATTGCTTGCAGATTCCATTCAGAAATTTAGCGAGATATATGAGAAGATTGAGAATAGTAAGAGACAGCAGATGCTAGAACTGGAAAAGATGAGGATGGATTTCCATAGAGACTTGGAATTGCAAAAGAGGAAGATTTTGGAGAGAGCACAGGCGGAGATTGCAAAAATACATCAAGGAGATGAAGAGAATTATGTGTCCACTGAGAACGTCAGTGGGTGATGTATCTAGCCCTCATTATCTTCCTTTATTCGTATTTACTTTATTGGCTGCTTGCCATTGTTGTAATGTACTCTGGGGCTTTGTGTCTTCTTGGGTTAATAGTTTGCTAGGGAAATAAAAGTGATTTGATGAAGGGATGTGTTTGGAAGTATTAGTTCAATTAGAAGTTAAAATAAAACTTTTAAGAGAATGCTCTTTTCTCTTCATGCCAATTTTACTTCAATGACACCTGTTGAGGTAACCATCTTTTGCTTTGCACACCATTTTTTGTTTGACAATTGCATTTGGCAATTTAACTGGAGATTATAAATCTAGACAGAGCAGCTTATAGTCCCTGTCACAACTTGTACATCTTTTGGGATTTCTATTGGTCAGTTTTACACAATGATATTTCATACAGACGAGTATGCATGCTGGTGCATGATAAATCATTAACTTTCTAACTCTTCTTGGATACATATTCTGTTCTTCACCACCTTTTATTTTAGGGAGGGGGGGGGGGGGAAGACAAGTAGTGAAGACATGTTGTTTGGAGTTGTGAATTATGCTTTCTTGTCCAATTCAGGATCCGTATGCTCAATTAGTAAAGATGGGGTTATGGAAGGAGATTAAGAGGAAATGCAACTGATTGATGGTCAAGCTTTCAGCATTTTCAATAGATGGGACTTGTGACATGAAATGGCTATCAGGTCAAGAATTGGTACATATTTCAGGAAGGTTGTGTGGAGAAAAGTATATTTGAAATCATTTCTATTATCGTTGTAAGGAGTTTCCAGGAGGCATTATTTTAAAAGAAGGGATGGTGGGGGAAATTGACCCAAGTTTAGCACCTTCCCCATGAATTATTGTTCAGTGGTGTCTTTGAGATTCTGCCTTTTTCTTGGGTAATAATGGTCACCGAATTAAGAAAATTTGCATATGATTTGTTTCAGGGATACTTGATTCCCTTTTGGGTGGGAAATTAGGGGATGGTAAAACTGGGAAAGTAGAGATATCATATCCGATATTTATAACTTTGTAGCATGGGTCAATCTGCCATTGTGACATGCCTGCTGGCCCTCCTATTTCGACCCCTTAGAAACTTCCAGTTGAAAAGCAGATAATTTGCCTATTATACTGTTACTCAATTTCCTCCTTTTTGCTTCCATTAACACGAATGGTGGCATTACCAGGAAAGAGTTATCATCTTTGGATGATTTGGTAAGCCCAAAGATGCTTTGGTGATTTGCATAATTCTCATGATCGATTCAGCTGGTAGCTCTCATTTTGTTTATAGTTTTGTTTCGGTAATGCTGTCTCTCTTAGGTTTCCAAATAAAAACAAGAAACACACATTCAACATTCACTATATGTTCAAGCATGGCCTTTATCTGTGCACTGCCTATGCATCATGTTAATCTGTTTTCTTTGTTTTTTTTTCCCTTGTGATATTTGAATGAAAGCTAGTGTGGTGATGTGGCCAACACATACATACGGGATTATTGCATTTAATGTGCAGCTTACAGATATATTTTTCCTTCTTGTCATATTGTGAAGTATCCTAGGCAATAATACTCTGCAATAATATTTGGTTACCGTCCCATGTCCTATTTTCAGGTATTTGTTTTTTACTAGATGATAATTGCTCTTGATTTGCTTTGTCTGATCTTCATTCGAAATCTTAACTGCAAGGTTAAATGCAAGTGCAACAAACTTTAGCTGCTCTAACCTCCGGTGTCTCCTTGTTTCAATTTTTTTTCCTGGGAATGTTGGTGAATCATTGCAGAGCTGTCAAATAACTGTCTTTAAATCCCTTGCTGTTAATAAGCATTAATTTGTAACAACCTTCCTGTTTAAGCTTTCCTCCAAAATCTTAATTGACCAAGCTTCTTATATTCCTCTATCTACAAGTGTTATTGAGTAGCACACACTGTAATCTATGAATACATTAAATTGCATGCAACGGTGTGAGTAGTGCAGCAAAATCAGACAAAGACTGGGTGTCTTATAAACTGATCAGTGTATTAGTGCTGGTATGACGACTTTTTTCTTTCCCTGAAAAAAGAAATTAGACTCTTATTGCAAGTTTTCACGGTATATCATGATCACCAAGAGGTCGGGAAGAGGTATGACAAAGTTGTGCATTGGGTATGACAGAGTGGTTGGACAGAACCTGTACTCTTGCTTTTCATAACTTTAGTGGGATCTAATTCGAAGATGGTTATGCCCAAAGTTGGTAACGAGGGTAACTGCTAGCCCAAACTGTAATTGCTAGCCAAGAATTGTGTGGCAGTATTATAAAATAGAAATTTGCACACTAGAGAAATAAGCATGTTTGGTCCCGTAGCTCAGTTGGTTAGAGCGTTGGTCTTATGAGCCGAAGGTCGCGGGTTCGAGCCCCGCCGGGACCATGCTCAAAAATTATTAAGTCTATAATGTTTTTATTACACTCTGGCTTGGCTTCGATGACGTGACATAATCACAACTACTAAATATTTGATAAATTTTGTAGAACCTATGGTGTATGTTATTTTGTGCAAGAAAATGATGTGTAACATTATTGTTCATAAAATTGTTGGGCTGCCATAGCTGTTTCTCTCAACATTGCTCACAGATCTTAGCATTTTAACTTTCTGTATTGTTAGTCATCATTTTTCAGGTCAATTCACTGCATGAGCTTTGGTTCCCACAACCTCTGGCTGGTCAGCATTGCCCATGTTCTGCAAATTTCTAATGACTCCAATCACACAGTACTAACTATTTAGCAACACTTTCAAGAAAAAGATTTGCTGGGGGGGGGGGGGGGGGGGGGGGGTATTGTTGTCCCTGTGAAAACAAAATTAACACCTTGAGAGTCCAATCAGTGCTTCTTACAAAGAACAATAATAACGCTACAAATGGGGCAACTGCTTCTACTTTAAATCCATGCTTATTTCTTAAGGTGCGAACGAAGCTGTGAAGTCGATAAAGCCATGCAAGTTTTTCTTTTAATCAAGTTTTACACACAGTAATGGCAACCAATTTAAAAATATGTAAGAAGTCATAATCAATACACTTGAAACACATATTTCTGTAATTTTACATGTATTGCCTGGTTTTCCTTTCCATCTGTCTGTCCTGTAAAATCCTGCTTCACTTCTACAGGTTCATACATGCAATTATCAAGCCCCTAACGTCCTTCTGTCTCATTCCCCAAAGGAATTCTTCAATGTGTTTTTTTATGTAGATGCGACACTTGAAACATTCGAGTGGGGTCTTCGGCCATTGTCACCTTATAACTTTTCCTATTTTATTTCACCTGATTTGCTCCACAGGAAAACTTGTGCACTTGGCCAACCTCTTGCATCGGTAGTGGTCCTCTATGTTTGTCTGTTTGAGCCCATAATTTTTCCTTGGGAATCCTCATAAAATGCCGACGCTTGAGGTAGGCTGCTAAACAGAGAATCTGATTATGAATTACAAGGAGAACAGAAGTTGTATGAAGTTAAAACAGGCCACAAGCTCACCTGCTCAGACTTGCACACCATGGTTTGCAGTTTGACCCAAGGACGAGAGGTAAGGTGAGTCACCAACAGCAACTGATCTCAGAAATGAAAATACCATGGAAATATAAAACCCCCTTAAAATGAATTAAAAAACAGCTGGTAAGTAGTCCGATAAGTGAAAATTTCTGAATTGGTTTCACAAAGGTCGACAAGTGATCCATGCATGCATCATTTAAGTTTGCTTTATCGTGAAGAGAAAAATATGGATGATAGTTTCAGTATCCATCTTAGGTTCAGGGGAAACTGCGAACCTTAAGTAATACTTGATCAAGATGGGGGGTTGGACAAGCGAAGGGTTTACAGATCTGAGAGCAATCTGAATGCCAGGTTGGAAAATCACCATGGAAAGAACTTAATAATTCCACTATCGTGGGTAGTGGGAATAAAGAGTTTCTGAGAGATCAAGCTGCTCTAACAAAAGCCTCTCCCAATTCACTCTGACAAGACGCCATTTTCTTGGTAATACGTCCAACAAGATACTCCTTCCAGTAATATGATATCACGCTCGCTGCTTAAGATTCAACTAATCAAAGCACCTCTAAGACCAGCAGCTAAACCCTCAACTTACGTGGTCAACCACCATAATCATACTGGGATCAAATAAGATTGGAGCTATATTATCCCTACAGCAAGGCATCTAATAATCTTGGATAGGATATATGATAGATCACAGACAGCCAGATCGTACCAAACAGTTGACCGGTGCGGTGCCACTAAGCCTAAATGAACAGAAGTAAAAACAACAATAGAATGAGCATATCATACCCCGTCTTCTTTCAGAGAGTTGCTTGTGAGTGATCTTCATCAATCTTGCCAACTGCCTCAAGTATTGATGAGTACGTAATAAGATCATATTCAAATCCATTTGAACGCATCTCTTTCATCAGCATTGCAGCATCCTCAAACATACCAGCACGGCTGAGACAGCCAAGAACAGTATTGTAGGAGACTGCATCAGTCTTTATCTTTGACTGTTTCATCTTTGTAAACATCTCAATTGCCCGTTGCGGACCCCCTGTCCTAGCCAAGCCATTTAGAATTATGTTATGCGAGTTTAAGTCAGGAATGCAACCATTCTCTTCCATAGTTCGAAGCAACGAGTGAGCTTCATCTATCATGCCAGCCCTTACCATTCCTGACATCAGTGCATTATATGCATAGACATCTGGACTGCACCCAAGTTTCTTCATTTCATTAAAAAGAGCTACAGCCTCATTTAAACGTCCACATTTCCCAAATTGTTTGATCATCACGGCATATACCCGAGCGCTTGAAGATCCACAATTTTCCTTTAGTTCTTGAAACAACTCATTTGCAGCTTCATAGCGTTTTGCTTTTCCAAGACTATTGATCAGGCTGCAATAGGCAGCTGGACAAGGAGGAAAGCCCTTCTCATCCATCTCCTCGAGCAGCAGCAAAGCTTTCTCTACTCTATTTGTCTTGCAAAAGCCATCAATTAAAATTGAGAAAGTAAAAGAGCTAGGATTAACACCATTTACCTTCATTCTCTCAAACCATGAAAGTGTCTCAGATACCGGAGCTTTGGATTCAAATAAAGCTTTAATGACAGTATTATATGTCACTACACTTGGTGTACATTGCAAGGATTTCATTTCTTCAAATAGCTTAAGAGCATCAGCTAAACGACCTGCCTTGCCTAAGAGATTCAAAACGTTGTTCATAAGCACAACATCTGGCTTACAACCCTCTTTTAGTATATTCAGAAATATACCATAGGCTTCTTCAACCCTACCAGCTTTCCCAAGCCCCTTGATTAATTCGGTGTAGGTATAAACTGTTGGGACACAACCTTTCTCTTTCATCTCCTGGACTAAGGCAAGAGCTTTCTCAACCCTACCCAACTTGAAATAGATCCCCAATAGAGTCGTATAGATCTTTGCAGTGGGGTGTAAGCCATTCTCCCTCATTTCATCAAACAACCTTATAGCAGAATCAACACGGCCCAACTTCCCAAATGCTGATATAAGTGCACTATAAGTTACTGTATCGGGAAAACAGTTACCTTCATTACACATTTCATTGTAGAGCTCATGAACTTTCTCGTGGTGACCTTCTTGCATCAGCATCAAGATTATGGAGTTGTAAGTGCTTGCAGTCGGTTGACACTTGCGACCTTTGAACTGGTAAAAGACCAAGAGTGCCCTGTTCACCATCTTAGCGTTGCCCAAAATTCTGACAATTTCAGATAACTCAGCTGGACGGGTGAGGCATGTACTGTGAACCATGTCTTGTATTGTCCTCCACAATTCACCCACCAACCCAGCTTCATCCAAACAACGAATTAATGCCATGTAAGTCGTAGAGTCATGCTTAAAGTTCCTTCTCTTCCCAGCCCACTTGAAAAATTGGATCTTAACATTGATCTCCACGTCTGTTTTCAAAACGTCTCGAACCAAGCGATGATCCACTTTCAGCATAAGAACCTCCAGAGCCTTCTCTGCATCAGGCCCCCACTTGAATATCTTTAAAATCCTTATAAATCTCTCATCCAATGTTCTTACTAAGCTGTTCTTTCGTGATGCAGTTCGGTTCGTGGAGAAGTTTTGTGTGTCATCCTTGGGACTTGCCAATCGGAACATTTGGACAATTTCACTTTCTGCAAAAACAAACAAACATGTACTAAATTTTGACTAACTGTTATTGTCCTTGCAAAAAAAAAAAAAACCTCCCAAAAATCTATAGTATGCCCACAAGGTATATAGTAGATATAATCATAAAAAGAGGAAATCTATCAATGGAGCTGCTTAATATATCATTTTTTTTAACAGGGCTTACAACAGTAGACACACTAAAATAATCAACCAATTTAAACATCCAGGGAAAAACAGAAAAAAAAAAATACACCCAAATTGCTAGGAGTTAATACTAATATTTCTATGTCTCATTTGTTTACTGGATGTACAAATGGCAATGAAGCACTAGATAATAAAACTCTACCTGTCTGCTTAAGTCTCTCACATAGATGAGGCAAAGTAGATATAGCTCTTCTGAAACTAATTGATCCTGCAACCATTTTGTTTGAATTAACAAACCAGATCACACGAATGAACTTTAAAGTACTCAAGGCATTGAATCAGTTGGTGTCAATTAGTGGCATAACAGCTTGATGTAGCTAAACATTATATCATCACCTGCCAACACAACATACAGCAATGGTCAAAGATTGACATGATGGGAATAACATATCTATTTGGAGAGTCTCAGCAGACAAAAAACTTGAGAAATGATTGAACAAAAGTTTGATAGTTTCGAGTTCTCAATTGAAATTGAAATGATATCTCTAGGCCATAGAACTACAAAGATATCAAAAAGGAAAATTTTTTCTATTAGCAAAAGAATGATAGTTTCAAGGGCAAATTCTGAATTACCCCCTTGTGGTTTGCCTCCTTGTCACATAATCTACTTCTAGTTTTAATACCTACACATAACCCCCTACCATTTTATACCAATCTGAAACTCCCTAACACCATTTACAGAAAGAAGGTTTTACCTTTCTACCCTCTTTTGTAACAAATGTTCTCTGCCTAATCTCAATGAAGGAGAGGCTGTTAGCGTAATTCAGATGTGAGAGGGCCACGAGTATCCTTTGGTTGCCTTTTTTGTTGAGATTTAGTGGTGTTCTTACTTCCTACCTCCCATTTTATATAAATACTACAGATAATGATAACTTCAGGTAGGTCTCACTAGGAGCCCTACATTACTATGGGTGGTCATACAATTTTGGGTGTTGGCAGAGATGGGGAAAAGGTGATGCGCCAGTGGGTGGAGGGTGCTGAAAGAGGTTGTGCAGCGGTGAATGGTGATAGAGGTGCATTCCTAGGTGGTGGCAAAGGAAGAAGGTCATCGGAGGGTAGATTAGAGGATTGTTTTTTTGGTTGATATAGTGGATGAAATTAATTTCTAGTTGTAATGGATGAGCAGAAATTCTGTCCATCGAATGTTCAAAATGGAAGTTTGAACTCCTTAGGAAGTTGAACCAGGAATTCTTCGTTGAATCCACAAAAATAAATAAACATCAAGTGCCTCTCCATGGCACAACATCGTATGAGGCATTTCATCGAATAGGTAGTGTGCATGATTATGTCCAGAGACAAACAAAACAAGATATGGTTCTTCGAATGTGTGCTGACAGATATAAACAAAAAAAAAAGTGTGTGCTGAGAGAGAGAGAGAAATTTCTTGATTCTTCTAAAGGAATTTCCAGTCAAAGTAGAGAGAGAGAGAGAGAGAGAGAGAAGCGAACAACGGGTGCAATTTACCGGTCATGTGAGCTGCTGGTCTTGTCTGATTGGGATCGAGCTACACACAGGCAACCTTTGTAACTACATACGGACTCACATCTCCTCCTTTCCGATACATTTTTTTTAATCACTTAAATGTATAGTCTAATTAGATCTGAATGGTTTTGAGAGAGAGGCGTTAGTAATTAATGAATAAATTTATTTGATATCGTCAAATGAATTTATTTAAATTTATCCTCTAGAATTGTAATAATAATATAACTTACTCAAAAAAAAATAATAATAATATTATCAATTGAGATCTTGTTTAATACATATTTTTAAATTTTTTTAATAAATCAAGTATCGTACCCACCCACGTTAAGGTGGTTGCTTTTGCCACATAATATGAAAATATAGAAATTCCACAATGGTTTTCTTGAATCATTTGTTTAGCTCCAAAAGATTTGTCATTTTTATACTATTTTCCATTAAAGTGCATAGTGTTTATCAACGGAAGACAGAAAATGCCAAATTTCTTATTAAAGTGATAAAATAAAATTGGGGTGTTTTGCCAACCCACCACTCTGGTCAATTTCTTTTTCTTACTCGGTTGATAGTTCCTGCATTTTAAGGTGTTTTTGAAGCAGGGCTTGGATTATATCAAAGAAGTTAGTAGAGTTCAGTGCTTTGGTTTAGCATGCACCTACGGATGTATAAGGTCGATTGGTAGCAGGATTAACAGGTGAATTATAAAATATTAAAACTCTCTATACAGCATTCCGTTATAAAAATTAATCTATATAATCCATTATTTTACAATACTACAACCAAGCAAACCCCAAATGATTTGTCAAAAGTTGCTTACCTGACACAGATGTTTTGCTGAATCAGTAAACTCTAGCTGAAAATGTTATTAACACCAAGTAATTCAGAAATTCACATTTGCTAATAAAGAAGACTTGCACCGTATAGAAAAGCTCAATGGACAACAGCACCTTAGTCCTCCCAGAGAAATTGCAAGATAGTTCCTGTGAATTATCAAACCAACATGCACAGGACAAAGCCCCGCCGTACACACATAAGAACTGGCACTCTATGCTTCAAAGATTCAAAAGTTCCATTGTAAAAACAATCCGTTTATAGTAGAATAACAAAACCCAAGTATAAAATGGAATCCAACGTAGACTCCCTATAATAAAGAGAAGTTGAACGACACTAATAAATATAGGTCTCAACAAATCACATTTGGATGGATAGATCACAATGAAGAATATAGGTCTCAAGAAGAGCATATTTGGATGGATAGTAGCTATTGAACTTCCCTCTTACAAACCCTTTTTGAAAAACAGGATTCCAGAGACCTACTCTTTGAATATAGGAGAACTTGCCAAACCATCAAACTGAGGAGATGGCTTTACACAACCAAAACAATCTCACAAACAAACATTTCATGGCCTATCTGGGCCATCAAAAAGTTCCAGGTGCTCTGCATAACACATCAATTGACAACCAAATTTACTGATTTATGGAGCACTTGGTGTGGTCTCGGGCTTGTCTGTTTCCATCGACTCAGCGGCAGCTGGAGGTACTTCACCTCCAGCTGCAGCCCCCTCATCAGCATTGGTCTGGAGGTTGCCATTCTCGGCACCCTGAGGCTGCGGTTCACTTCCTTCTGGAGGCGATGGTGACGACATCTCAGGAGTTACAGGCTTCGCTGGCTTTGGTTTCGTCATTATTGGCCTGCAGAACCTGGAGGACCACATCATGTTCAGTATTTACCATAATAATGATCCTGTAAAAGATGTGGGATACAGAAGACTCGACAGGAAGTTATGGCAAAGCTTCCGCCGAACAAAGAAAGCAAATAGAAGACCTTTATGGGAATTCCATAATCAGAAAATCACAATTATGATGAGCCAAAAGCAATACTGTCAACAAAACAGTGGCCAAAAGCTTATTGCAGGTTATTAGTTTACAAGCATAATTTATGCATACGAATGAATGGTTCATTGATATATGTCTGTCTGCATGTGTCAGTACACCTTAAAAATTAGAACAAACAAATTATAACCGGTCAAAGAACAATCAGAAGGAAACTCTAAATTTTGATATAAGTAGTCAGAATGTACCTATCAACGGCTTCAGCTTTCCTTCTCACGTCAGCTGACAAGAGAATTGGCGGAGCATGTTTTGGAAGCGAGTCTTGCAGTTGTTTTTTCTCTCTCAGCCAAGCCTCAGCTTCTGCACACTCATTTAGAACCTAAAAGTAACCAAACAGTAAAAGGAATTACTTCATTGTGTTTCAGATCTTTGCCTCCAACTCATTATGTCTCAAATCTTTTTCCATGATCAACAAAATTCACGTGTCTATGTGGGCGCGCGTGCGCGCGTGTGGTGTGTGAGAGAGAGAGAGAGATTCATCTGCCAAATCGATACCTTCTGTTTCTCTGCTAAGTCGATGTGATCAAACTTAGGATCAGTCGACATTGCAGCTTCTCTGTAACTGTTGATGCAGTAGACAACTTGATCAATCACCGATCCCCTCTCCATGTGCTCCTTGTAGCGCTCCTCAATGGGATCACCTTGCTGTAGGATTTAATTCCAACACAGTTCACCATACCATTAATTAGAGCAAACAGCTGTCAATAAAACTGAAAAAAAACAAAAGACACCAACCTTCTTCAGCTCCTCAAGCTTGGCAATATAGACACCTTTGGTTTCATCCTCACCATCTTCATATAACCAGTCCTCAACCTCCTGAAGTTTAGCAATAAACTCTCCTCTCTCTGACTCCAAAACAAACTCTTGATATTTGTCGTGAAGCTAGAAACCAAAATAACAGAAGTAAGCATCAAATTCCACAAATTCACAAAAACAAATGTGCAAGCTATGACATACCTTGTTTCTCATGTCATAAACATAGGCCTCCACAGCATTCTTCTTATCCTTGGTTTCTTCCATAACACGGTCCTGCAAAGCCATTTCAAACTCCTTCTCCACTGCTTTTTGCACATCTGCATTTGCCATTCCTCCATAAACAAACTCTGCTACAGGTATGTTTGTTTTCTTCACCTTTTTCTTTGGAGCCTCAACCTGCATACAAGGTAACAATAATAAAAATGTAGAAGTATGTGTGGGAAAAAATCCTGAATTTATTTTATTTTGCACTACCACAAGAAAACTAATTTCCCCACAAAACAAATTCATATTCCTAGTGTTTAGATCAGCGCGAAAGACTTCATGTGAATCTCAAACCATAACTAACGCAAAAAAGAACAGATAAATGTAGGCTGGAATGCAAAGAAGGATCACTAATGTTTAAGTGTTCAATCAGTTTGTGGGTAAAACTCTTCTGATCCTGCCGGTGCATTTCTCATGAAAGACTTCTCTATTCCTTCATCTACAATTTTAGCCCGAGACTAAGACCAAGGAAACCTTAAAAGCCAAAAAGGTAAACCATAGCAAAAAACACACTCCAATTCACAGCAGAAGAAACATGACTCTTTCACAGGATTGGCACAAGGAAATTTTGCAGATCTCACAGCTCATCTATGCAAATAGAACTCAAGATTGGATCACCTTGGACATGAAAATCATACTAAATGAAATCCATCAACTCAGCTTCTCACTTGATTTGCAAGGGTGAACAGATAACATCCATTTTAGACAGTCAAAAAGTTCCAAATGATGGGTTCTTTCTGCTAAAGATCCATACAGTATTTGTTAGCATTGACTCACTGCATCAAGCTAAACAACCCTTTCTTTACCAGCTAAAACAGCCATCCTCTCTCACCAAAAAAATTACCTGCTAAAACTACCTAAGAAGCATGGACATATAGATACGACATTTCTCAAAAAAATAGAACACGGATGCGCTATAAATAATTGTGTTTTATGTATAAAATTATATAATTCATCACAAATATAATAAAAATGATATATTAATCATATGAAATTCAAGACTTCAAGAGAAGAAAATGTTATATCTAGTCGTCTAGCGTGAATTTTTAGACTCAAGCATCTTAATAGTCAATAATAATCAATTTTTTTAGACGTATACCCAACATATATAATTTAAATGATATTTTTCATTTTTAAAATTTTATACATTTTTTGCTTTTCTTATTATATCTTGAGTACAACTATAACATATCTAGTCATGAAATTATACGATCTCTCATAACATAAGATACTTATAGTCAATTTTTTAAGTTTTGTTAATCACTTGGCAACAAATATTTATTATTTAGTAGTAAACATGGTCTAAATACATGTCAAACACGTCAACAAAGAAATGTCGGACATATTTCCAAAATTAAGATTTTATCATTTAATTATGGACACGGATAAGAGAGTATCAAACACGTGTATTAAGTGTTGGAATACATTACATTACCTTCTTGAAAGTATACATGCTTCATATAAAACTACTAATAGACAATAACCTCCCCTACCCCCCCCCCCCGGTGGGGACAGTGGGATCCCAACTGAGCTCCCCAAATCCTCCCTCTCCTGCTGCTCATCAGGAACAGAGTGAGGTGAATCCTGTATGTGTGTTATCTACTTTCCTTTCTATTAGCTATAGGTATGGAGGCCTTTCCCTACCAACCCTTGGTGGTTTTCCCATAAGTCATGACAACTCTAGTCAACAACCACCAGTAGAATAAAACCTCTAACAGTAAATGTTTTCATTTCTATTAGCTAGGTATGCATTGGTTCATTTTAAGTTGTGTTTACTGACCTTGGCATCTGTTTCCATTTGAGCAGGCTTGTCTCCAGTTTCTGGAACACCATTTTCAGCCCCAGTACAATCGCTGGCACCTTTAGCATCTTGCATATTTACATCAGTTTCCATGTTACAAGGAGGAGGAGCATTAGCTGGAGCTTCATCGGTCTCCATCTTAGTAGCTTCCTTGGCTGGCTCTTTCACAACTGGAACTTCAATCTCCTCCTCCTCCAACAGCTAAATTAAATATCAGCAGATATTAGCAAAAGATTCAATTACAATCCACTGAAAGATACAAGGGGTGCATAAAACCTATCTCCCAACACTTACTGTTGCTGACTCAACCGACACAATGCCATGCAGATTTAGGCGTACTTTGACCTTCAGTTTGGCCCGTTCGCCCTTTGTGGATTGGAAGGGACCGATCTGTCCTCCAATATTTTCATAAAAAGAAATGTCAGCTATGAACTCTATACTGTACACCCTATATGCTTGTGCGCAATAAAAACTGAATCAACTAATAAAGTATGCAAATCTGTTACCGTGTAAGTGCTGATCTTTGTTTGTCCTTGAAACTCACCCAAGTCAGCATAATGTACATCTATCGAGAATGTGCCAGACCTGTAAAATGTCAAAGCCTTCACACTTGATGTTGGATTCCCCTTGGGGAATACAATAGTACTCTGTTGATTATCTTCAGCTCCATTTTGGGTCTCTGGAGCAGAACTTTTCCATGACAAAGCAATTGGGAAGGGGAAACTGTCATTGACCTTCAAAACCGAACACCAAAGCCATCAAATAATACATCATACCACATCTCGCTCAATGCAATTTGGGAAAAAATTATAACAAGAAGCATGCAAGAAAGCAAGAATGACTATTTCCAAAAGTAAATCTTTCACTCATTACATCTAATAATTAATTGTAAGAATGTACCAAAGAACTCAAAGAGATAGAACACATGAGAAGCTTCTCATGTTAGAAAATGACATCAAGTAACCATACAGATGAAAATGCTCGAACAAACAACTGCAAAGTTGTGCTTTGAATCTGATGGAAGTCAATTTGTGCAAGTAATGCCCACAGGTTGGATTGAATTCAATCCACCCCAACCAGGATTAAACTGGGTGACATTTCCCTTGCTTGCCTTCCTTGATTGCAAATCCCCTTTCATAAGTGAAGACCCAGATTAATTTTGCAAGCAATGGAAAATCGGATGATAAATGAGTGAAAATAATATCATCACCCACAGCCCCTGTATCAGTATTCACTGCACAGTTGCAGGCGGTATCTCAATTTGAGTAGGCTTCAAGAACTTTTATGTTATGCCATAACAAAGGAGTCTCCCCTCAAACATATCCAAAAACAAGTCTCATTGCTTCTTAAAAGCATGATAAGTGGAGCCATGGAAATAGGAGCATGAGAATGTGATTCAACTTTGCAGTAGACTGAGACACACCAAGAACCCCAAGAATAAAATTCAAACATTCTGCAATAGCATGACACTATTACATGCTTGATTAACTCAATATGCATATGAATGGAAAAAAGTCACTAATAATATAAAACTTACATGTAGACTTTTTAGGGTATGCAAGTAGCACGTAAAGAACCATAACCCACCAATAACATGCACAGAGTGAATAAGAAGCACATATGTAAAGTTCGACAATATCAAATAAAACAATTCTTCCATATTATGGATGCTAAAGACACAATTACCACAAGAAAAATGTTAACAAAGTCAGAGCTGCTGGGTGGTTCTTTCAAACACAAGGCTTCCAAAGCACAAAACAAGAACTTCCATATTGTAGGATGAGGAGGAGAAATGAGGTGGGTTTAAACAAAACGCATACAGAAACTGGCAGACACCAACAAATCAAAAAGTTAAATAAAAAAGAGAGGATGAGGAGAAAGTAGGAGGAGTAAACATAAGAGTTGATGGAAGATGACTTAACCTGGAACTCACGCACTTTAAATGTGGGACTAAGAATTGCACATTGTAGTGCGCAACCTTTGGCAACACACTCACTGGCATTCATGGTACGCCTCGGCTCCTTGCCAAAGAACTCTGTCAGTCTCCTGATAACAGCAGGAACACGAGAACCGGAACCAACAACTTCCACGGAATGAATATTCTCAACTGAAAGTCCAGCATCCAGAAGAGCCTTCTCTAATGGCTCCGTCACACGTGACAAAAGTGGAACGATAAGTTGTTCAAATTCCTCCCTCTTGATGAAACCCCTGACATCTTTTTCCTCCATCAAGCACTCTATATTTAGAGGTGCCTCTGCATTTGCACTCAGAACCTTCTTCAGCTTTTCACAAGCAGCGCGAAGCCTAAGACAAGCCCTTGCATTCTGGAAAACATCAATCTTGTACTCTTCCTTGAATTTTGCAGCAAAGTAATGGAACAGAACTTCATCAAAATCTCTTCCACCAAGAGATTGGTCAAACGAGTGTGCCAATATCTTCAGTTGGCCTTTCTTGAACCCAACAATACAAACCTGCATGCTAGCATGCCCAATGTCAACAAATGCAACATTCAATTGGTCATTCTCAGGTAAATCTGTCTTATAGATTCCGTATGCCAAGGCAGTAGCTGTAGTTTCATGCATTAAACGAAGGGGATGCAAGCCCGCAATTGTAGCTGCATCTATAACAGCTCTTCTTTGAAGATCGGTAAAATAAACAGGTATCCCAATACAACAATCGACAACTGCTGCATTCAGATTCTTCTCAGCAATACTCTTCAAGTTAGAGAACACCATCCCCAAAACCTGGGTTGGAGTAAATGCCCTCACTTCTCCTAAGTAACGTGCATGGATTAGCGGATACCCATCAGGCCCCTCAGACACAGAATATGGCAATGCGCTCAGGTCCCTTTGCAGCTCAGGATCTGAAAACTTGCGGCCAATCAACCGCTTAATCTGAGAAATCGTATTCTTTGGATTCATCATACTCGATGCAGCACCAGCTGTTCCAAGAAACCTCTGCTTCTCACCAAAACACACAACAGCAGGAGTCTCACGTTTGGACTCATCATTAAGCACAACATCAATTCCTCTTTGCCTTGCAACGGCAACAACTCCACTCTCATTCCCAAAGTCAAAACCAACAACACTCATCTTTGCAACAATATTTAGCTCTGGTGCACACAGTCACTGTGTTCCCAACAGCTGAATAAGAACCTGAAAAATAACAATTGAGAACCATAAGCAACAATCCCCAAAATGGCCAATATGCTTTCAATAGATACCACCTGGAGAACTAAAAAATCAAAACCACATTCAATGGACAATAATAGGCCAAAAAGCTAGCATTCAAGCTTTTCACCCTCTAGCCTTTATTTCCAGAAAATAGTCATAAAAAAATCTCTCAACTAACAACATTAACTGCAAGCAACTTGAAAATTAATCAAGTTTACACTAACTAAATAACAAGTCAGAATATATAAGTTAAAAGCAATTAACTACGTCTAGTTTCCACTACCATTAATCAGATACACTGATCAACCTGACAAAAGATGTCATAATCTCCATATGAACACCAAAGGGATGAAATTATGTTGATGTACAAGTACAATTGAACTCTACGAAAGAAGAAAAAGTTTCCATACTTTCCCTTTTTTGGCAGGGTAGGGGCACTCCCATTAATCAGCACTGATTACAGACACTGAATACTACTTAGCCGAATCATTTTCTCTTCAACAACGTCATCAACTAAGACGAAACAATAACGCAATACAACTTGAACAACGAAGACAAAACATAATTTCAACACAATTTCCGCACAAAGTAACCTATAATCCAGGAATCGATAGGAAAAAGCAGCTAAATCCATATATAACAAACTACATTCCACAACCATCTGAACGTCTCTCATCAACACATACTCAATTAAACAGTGAACCTCGTAACTACGAGCAAATTCAATGAATCCATGAAGACAAATAACAGATCTGAGAATTTCCGAAACAGAACGGTAGGGTTTCTTTGAGACCCTACCTTGCGACGGAGGACCGAGTGCGCCGCAGCGTAGAAGAGGCTTCTGGAATCCTCCAAACACTTCGACGGAGTAGAGAGAGAAACAAAGAAAGAGTGTGTGTTTATAATACTTTGTGACCGAAACGGTGTAGCAGAGAGAGAGAGGCGGCCGTTTGTGCGTAAATATCAAATATGGAGTAAACTATTAAGTGGTGGGTCTTTATCAAGAGCTAGTCAGGTGTTCCCAGACGTGTCTAGAGATGCAGCTCCTTCTAGAAACATCTTCTACGAACCGCTAGGCCTTTTTGCCATTTCTTCGACTGGGCTTGGACTGTAATGGACCTATTTGATATCTATAAACGGGCCTGACCTATTCTGAAATGTTCTTCAAATTGGCGGAGAATGGGCCTGATCTATAAGTTGGATGAGAATGGCCTCTTCTATTTTAAAAGTGAAAATTGGGGTGAGTCCTCTTATGTACTTATTTAGAGATAAGTCTGACATAGAAATTTATAGGGAGTTAAGTCCATATTTAAAATTATATATATTAACTTAAATCCACTTTTTTTTTATCTCAAAAATACCCCTAACAGTATTAACTTTGGTCAATTATAGAAAGACATAAGTTAAATGTTTGAAATATATATGATAACAAACTGATCAATTTTTTATGGAAACTGTATATATCAAAATATTATGCTTCAATTACGTTAAAATTAGTGGTCTATTAATTCAATTTCGAATCAGAAGATTCCATTAAAAATTCAAATTCAAATTCAAAATCTGCATCAAGCATATCATTCGTGTGTCTGTAACAGACATTTGTTTTTTATTGAATTTAGAATTGATTATTTTTTCGTGCTAAATAAAGGTAAAAATTTGAACGTTTTTGAATTTTTTCCAGGAAACCTGTTGTGTTCTTTTTCTTCATAACATACCGATATTTCATTTTTATTTTATAAGAGTGTCGAAGGTGATAGCAGCAACAACGGGAGTTCGAATTTTTATGTGATTTCAGTTCAACCTACTAGTTCTTGATTTTCAGATATATTTTCACTTTAATTGACTTTTTTTACATATCGTGACTAACAGTGCTGTTTTGAAATTACCGTAAATTGGAAGTTACTTTGCCGGAATTTCGATGTTACTAACCGGAATTTGCATTTCAATGTTATTTATCGGAGTTATTTAAATTTTTTTTTTTAAACTAGGTTCTAAGTTTTGTTTTTCATGTTACTGGTAGTGATGTATTAGAATTAGAATTAATTATTTTCATTTTTTCTTTGTTCTTTGCCGAAATACAATGTTACTTATTGGTGTTTGTATTGCAACATCATTCAACGGAGTTCTTTTTTTTTTTTAAATAAGGTTTTAATTTTATTTTTTCATAGTAACATTCATGTTACTATATCTGTGTTACTATAGTAACATTATTTTGTCAGTAACATTCAAAGTACCCAAGCACTTCCATAAATTGGAAATATGAAATCAATTTTTAATTTATCACACAGAAATATGAACAGTTTCAATGTACTCTAGAAACAATGGTTTTCGAATTTCTTGAACAACGAAAAAAGTAACAAAAAATTTAAACATCTAATTATATAACACATTGATTAAGTAATAGTAACATAAACAGTTTCATCCCCAAGATTATATTGTGCACAATAACATCGAATGTCAAAAAATAGATAGTAAAAAACCAAACAATTCAAAAATTGATGTTAATGTCATGAACTAATAGTAACACATTGTTAATGGTTGATTTAGGACAATCAACACATATCTCATCTTCACTAATAAATTTTAAAAATTTCTCTCACAGTAACATGAGCAATTCTAAAAAAACTACATCAATCAATTTTGAATGTATTACACAACGAAAAAAAAAACAAAATTATAATACTCAACTCTTTAATATAGTAACAAGAAATGACAATTTTATTTAAAAAAAAAAATTCAAAAGTATGAACGGTATAGTTTGTAAATCTTGTTTTAAAACCCTAAAACAAAAATCAAATATCATGTAAATTAACATACCTATCTATTATTTAAAGAATCCCAAAGCTTTTTGTGGAGAAGTTTTTAGTGCCGAAACCAAATGTAATGTCACCAATGAAACTTGAGGAGTGATGCCGATTTTCGGTTTATGGTTTTGAACCAGTACAAATTTTGAAAATGGATAATTTGGAAAGATGAATCAGACGCACTAGAAAAACCCAAAGAATAGTTATTGCAGTCTGAACAAATTGTATAAAAAAAAGCAGGTTAAAGAAGCAAAGGCAAGGATTGAGAGGGAGCCGATTTGGGCAATGGCGGTTTGACTCCAAATCAGTTTGGGTAATGGTAGTTTCTGTTTTTTAGAGAAGGAAGATGAGATAGATTTTGGTGGATTTTGGCCGGATTTGTAGCCTATAATGGAGGGAAAGTTTTTGCGTTCCTATTCGACAACGAAGAGTTTCTCCATTTAGTGTAGAAACGGCAAGTTACACACCATTTATGGTTTTTCAAAAAATAAGAGTACAATAGTAAAATTATCAAAAAATGGACTTAAACCCAAACAAATTTCCTTACAGGACTTATCTCCAAACAAGTCTATCTAAGGGACCGACTTCCAAATTTCTCATTTTAAAACCCTTTTTCAAATGGGATGAGAATAGTAGAGGATGGGCCTGACTTTAACTCCATCTTTAGCCCCAATCCAGAGTTAATCCGAGTTTCAATGTAATTCATGTAACCTGAGTTCAACTTGAATTCATTAAATTAAATATGAGCAATACTTGAATTTAAAGCTCCGGAATGAATGTGAATTCTAGTTGTGATTGGGTTGAAGTTTTATTACTTGAGCTGATTTCTAAGTTAAATCTCTCAACCCAACTACACAATGTCACAATCTCAAATCCTAAGTACTGAATTTACAATTCATTAAACAAATAAAAATGTTATTAAAATTTAATTTGAAATCTAATATTAGAACATAATTCAATATAACTATTGAATCAAAAGTGAACTCCATCAACACGCGCCATTGAATTAAGTGAAAAAATGCTTGCACGGTAATTCTGAATTGTTTAGGGTGGTTCAATTGTTGAGTTTGTCATTTTTTAACTTAGAGGTATTCTTTAATACTCCGTTTGTTAAGAAGGATAGAAAGTAAGCGGGATATACTTTATATTCTTCAAGGATATAAAGTAGGAATGATGTATTTTTCTTCTTTTGTGTTTGGTTGGATGAAAAAAAAATAAAAATAACAATTTTTTTTTTCGATGACTAAGATTAGGGTTGACAATCGAATCGTGTCGTATCAGATTCGTGTTGAGTTATAAAATTATAAGTTTTTTATATTTCGTGTTCACGTGTCATGTCATTTTCAAATTCGTATTAAGTTATAATGAAGTTCGTGTCATAAAATTTGTATCGAGTTCGAGTCGTATTATCGTGTTGAGTCGAAAATTTTCACTCCTAGTTAAGATAAAAAAAAATTTTTTTTAATTTAAAATTTTATTTTTTAAATATATATATATATACATATTTTATCATTATATTTTTATATGAAATTAATATATAAATAATATATATAAACAAATAAAATACATCTCAACACAAATAATTAATTTTTCATCCACTTTCTTTCCGTTTTTTGAGGGATTGATTTTGATGAGTTAGAAAGAAAGTAAATTCATCTACTTTTTCATTATTTTTACTTTATTTTTTTATCAAACGTGATATTTTATCTATCCTTCAAATTTTTTATTATTTTAACTTTTTATTTTTTTATTTTTTCATTGAGCATGAGAGTTAACTATATGCTCTAATCCAGTTAAAATTTAGACACCCTGTTAAAAAAAAAAAAACACTCAATATTCTTTACTGGGGTATATCACCAACAATTACGTTACATAATCCCTTTTCTCAGCCCTTTCCCCTTCTACTTCAAGGTATTGAAATCTCGCCGGAATTCTGACGTAAAATGACAATAAGATCAACAAAAGCACTTAGTATGTACTTGTATGACTTCCTATCATTCAAATTCAGGTAACAAAACAAGAGCTCTTCCATGAATTCCCAGTCAACTTTACCACGGTGGTCCATCTGTGCTCCGATCATCTCCTTCATTGATTGCCGGAAATCACAGTGCGGACTTTGAGAGTATGTTAACACCGCTATAAAGTCATCAGGACCCATCACTTCCTTGGCGTCTTCACTTTCTCCGGTGGTGGTGGTGGTCTTGGTGGAGCTAGACTCACCTATGTCGTCGGACGCCGTCATGCTTGACCGGCCGGCTTCCTCCATTAATGAACTTGACGAGCCGGGGACTGCAAAAAACCGATTAGACCCACGAAGTTCAGGCGGTGGATCGATAAACCCACCTGATTTTTCTTCAACATCTTGGTCATCTTTCTTTTTGTGATCTTCTTCTTCGTCGTCGTCCTTTAGATACAAAGAATTGAAATTCTGAAACAGAAAACGATCGATATCTTCTAGTGTTGCTGCATCGCCATTGTCATGGACCTCGACTTCATTGGGATTAACGGCGAATGATAGTGTTCTGGGACGGTTGCAACCGCGCGGGATCCAACTAATGGAAGATGAGAGAGATTTAGAAGGCAAATCTAATTGTGGGGTGGTGGGTTTTTTGATCTTTGAGAGGTAGTCTTGAAGAGATTTTTGGAGTTTCTTAGGCATTGTTCTAATTTGGTTTACCTAGTGATAGATCTGATCCAAAACTACAGAGATGAATATGGTTTTATAGAACAAACAGACGTGTAAAAGTATCATAAACAAAGAATTCAGGTTACCGGTTAACCTGGTCACCACTGTCCTAAGATTAACAGTTGATTTAAGGGAAAATTTCAGTGGCACTCCTTTTAATTAAGTCTAAATTAAATGATATCCCCACCTAATTCTGAAATTTCACTGCACCTTTTATAATTTATAACTATAAATTTTTTGAAAATATCAAAACAACAGCACCTAACCTTTTATTATTTGTGAAGGTCAACAATGATCTTGAGTTGTTGAAAAACATAAGGAACTGAAATCGGCCATTATTTTTTAATTCATTCTTTGTAGTGATCGATCACTATCTAAATTGGTAAAAAAAATTAATTTTTTTTCTTGCAGATTTGTAAATGATTTTCATGTAGATTTTTTTTTAAAAAAATTCATGCAGTTTTGTTTTTATTATTTTTTTTCATGCAGATAGTTTTAATTTTTTAAAACTTTTTTCATCCAAAACACACGTTAGACTTTTAAGTCATTAAGTTTATTTTTTTATAAGTTATTGGGTAAGAGATACACTTTTCAATTCTTATTTTCTTATATTACCTAAGTTTCCTATGTGGCATGTTTTTTGTTGTTCGTTATAAATTATTGGGTTTTAAATTTATTTTATAGTTAAAAATAATTTTTTATAATAAAATTACAATCGATAAAGAAAATGTCAAAATTCCATCCATTTTTAACTTTTCTCTTATCATTTGTCCTCTACAACGTCATCTAATCACTCTTCATATATAAACTTTAAATATTATTTGATAATATTTAATATTAATTAAATAAATTTAGTCTTAATATGATAAATTTAAATATTAAGTTGGTTTAAATTTTATAAAATAAAATATTAATTCAGTGTTGATTTGATAAAATTTAAATATTGCTTTAGTAAAATTAAATATTCATTTGGTTTTAAATTAAATAACTGACAGTAATTTGATAAGGTTGAATGTTAAATTAATAGAATTTAATATATTGTCAATTTAGTGTTGATTTGATGAAATTAAATAAGAATTTAATGTTAAATTAAAGAATTAATATTAATTTGATGAAATAAAATATTAAATTAATATAACTAAATACTAATTTGATAAAATTAAATATTAATTTGAATTGATTTGATGAGGTGAAATATTAATTTAGTTTAAATTAAATATTAAATTGATAAATTTAAAGGTTAATATAATAAAACTAAAAAAGAGTGCATTGAAATTTCAGAATCAGGAGGAGATATTGTTAAAAATAGGTCTATTTATAGGGAGTATCGTTGAAGTTATGTCTATTTACAGAGAGTGATGTTGAAGTTATGTCTATTTACAAATGGTGTGGATAAAATTGATCCTATAAAATATTCAAGATTATTTTTGTAAATTAGCAATTGTCGTTAATGCTGTAATTCGACAACACTGACAGGGGTGACAATGAAGTTTTAGAATCGAGGGATAGTGTCATTGAATTTAAACCTAATTACAGGGAGTGTGAATGAAATATTTCCTTAATTTAATAGCATAAACAATAAATGAAAAGAATAACGTTTTTTTAAAAAGCATTAAGCTGGATAGTTACTTATTTAATGGCGAGAGAGTTTACTTTAAGTGTCGAAGAATTTTGATTTATTAGGAGCATAATTAATTAAATGAGTTGACTTTTATGGATTCTAAAGGGATCGTTAGAACTTAGAAGGCTGGTGGGTTTAATACTGTTGCAAATTAAGGATAATTGAAGTGGTAACAGATACGATCGCTAAACCTACATAAAATTTGAATTTTGATAATTTTTTAGAATTTATTCATTAAAAATTTATCGTTCATGAATACTCTAATCTCAGGGGAAATGACATGTCTTTGACAAGTGAGAGAATTAATTAAGGTGTACATAAGTTGATCTAAACACATTCACCGTTAAAACTTAAAAATAAAAAAATAAAAACTGCTACAAATTGTTATTACTTGTTACTGTATATTTTAGGCATGAGTGGAGTTAAACTTGCTATAGATTGTGCTTTTCCATGGTTTTAATTTGTTTCGGGGGTTAAAAATTGGGAAATTTGAAGATTGGTCCTCCTATATGGACTTGTTTGGATTTAAGTTCATCAAGAAATTTTTTTTGTTATGAAGTCCATTTTTTGTCAATTTTACCATACTATCTCTTCCCTTTAGAAATAAAATCAAAACTAAAAATTAAAAACTCCTAGATTTTAGGAGTTTGACTAACATTAAAATATTTTCTCTCTCATATCTATCTATATTCATACATAAGTTAAGAGTTTAACAAAATTTAAAATTTTTCCTCTCTCATATATATATATATATATATATTGTAACATTAAAAATAAAAAATAGTAACATTTAATCATAAAAAAATTGAAATATTCAATATTAATATTTTTAAAAAATAACGATAATAACATATTCAACAAAAATATTAACATGTTCAACAAAAATAATAACATACTTAACAATAACTGTAATATACTTAACAATAATTATTTCTCTTATATTCAAACGCAAAAAATAGTACCATTCAAACACAAAAAATAGTAATATTAAAAAAAAAAAAAAATAATAAAATTGAATATTAATATTTAGGACAATAATATTAGTAACATATTCAACAAAAACAGTAACATACTCAAAATAATAGTAACATAAACAGTAACATACTCAACAAAAGTAGTAATATCAATAGTAACATAATAAAAAAAATAGTAACATGTAACATTCAATTTAACAAATTAACTCTCACAAAAAATACCATAAATTACATAAAATAAAAAATTAACAAGAACCAGAGATTCTCATCCGTTACCCACAAAATTGAAATAATTCAAAAAAAATTAAAAGATGAACATTGATAAAACAACTCCACTAGCTGGCCAGAGAGAGAGCGCGCTTTGAATTTAAATTTTAAATTTATGATAAAGATTTTATTGATATATTTTAATTGACATTGAATTAAGGAATAACTATATCAAAAATAAGAAATTAATTTAACCTCCTTTCAAAGAAGGGTATTTTTGAGATAAAAAAAAAAGTGGACTTAAGTCATTACATATAATTTTAAACATGAATTTAGCCATTTATAAGTTTCGTTACAAGACTTATCTCCAAATAAGTACATTTAGGGACTGACTTTCAATTTTCACTTAAAAATTTCTCTCAATATCGAAGTTTTATTTCTTAGATTCGGTGAATATCACGCTAACTTTTTATTGAGATTTACAAAATAATAATATGTACTTGGATTTCCCTCACTTGAATTCACGATAGGATTAACCACTGAAACAAATTAAGCTTTATTAGTTTAAGAAAAATTGGATCCCAATATTTAAAAAACAAAGAAAGAAAATTGTGTGGGAGGGTTTATTGAAAATTTTGTTTGGTACTACGGTGAAAGACACTCTAAATTAAGATCAAATTTACAATTCTACTTGCAGAGACTAAGATAAAATGAGTTTCAATAGTATTCGAAATTGCTATACTCAGTAATAGAACTATTGTGTGAGGCTCAATGAGGGCTTTTATAATTGCTTGGGTTAATGGGGAAGTGAAGGTTGATGTTAGATCAAAGAACAAAATATAAGTGGTTCACCTCAGCTGAAAGACCAAGACTATGTTCCCTATAATTTAGGTTCTTTGCACCTCGGGGGTTGTATTATTTGAAGACGAAGACAATGGGTTCTTGGCTGAGAGCTTTTTTTACGCAATATCCTGAAAATAAAATTCAAGAACTCTCTTTTATAGTGTTTTCGTTTTCTATTTATACACGTGATCATCTAAGGTTTCTATGATTCTTATTTTTCTTAGCTAATTATGTGGTCCACTCTTCATTTGTCTTGTAGTGGGGTCTGTCACCCTGACGCATTTTTATGCCCACGATCTTCAAAATGAATGTATCTAAATATTCCTTTATTAAAAAATATTTGTTTGTTAGGGTCATTAGAGGTTGTTCCCCTGTCCATTGGACACACTGTGTGACGGTAGCTGCTTTGGATTTATTTTGTACCAAACTCCTAGTTCTCAAGCCGGTTCATTTAGCCATAATTGAGACGATCGAGCAGATATATACCGAGTCGGATGGCTCTGGACTTCGTGCCCTATGCTATGGCCACTTTCATGATGAAGTGGGCGTCACAGGTGAGCCTTTTTTTAAGGAAGCCCGCCGAAAGTTTTGGACCCCAAATAGACTGCCTAAATCTACCATAATCAAGTTTGGCTCAAAACGATTCTAATTAAATTTTTTTTTTTTGGTGTCATAACTTGCCCTCCATGCATTGAACGTCACTAGACCCGGATCAAGTTTTGGTAAATTGTGCGACTACTTTGTTAGCATCAATCTTACGTTTGAATAAGGGATTATTGTGTGATATTGAGATGAAAAAGATTAAAATATCTTATATCAATACATAAATTTTTAGTATATAAGAACACTTTTATAAACTAAAAATCACATATTATATGGTAATTGGTTTATATGATGAAAGTATGAGACATTAAATGTCACTTTAGCAATGGACCTATACTAAAATACTTTTAATATAAAAAATTATAACTTAATTCAAATTTAATATTAAATAATAATTAATTATTTATAAATTCATCATACAATCTTAAATAAATTTATTCAACAGTAATTAATATTTCTTTCAAAATTATTTATATTATACCGTATTTTTCAAACACGAGTTACCCATATTTTATTAGGAAGTTTTACTACACTAAAAATCACTCAAGTTGCGGGTTGTGGGTCAATAAGCATGTGGATTATTCAACCCGCAAATCTCGGTCTCTGAGATAGATAGAAGAAGATGCTCTGCACAATTTGGAAAACCTTGGCCCAATTTGCAGGTCTGTATTTGACTTCCACAGTTTGACTTTGACCCCAGATCATACGTGAAATCTGATTTTCCACATAATTACAATCAACAAAGTCAACAAACTTTCTTTGTGAGAAAAGAAAAATGCGAAACGGTCAAAACAATCAAAATTTTTCTACTTTCAATGAAATCAAATGAATCAGTCCTATAACCAAAATTCTAAGTGTTTCATAATATTTTGAAATATTTACATAATTATTTTAAAATGTTTCAAAATATTTTAATATACTTCAACTAATGTAGTTGAAAAAAAATAATTTTTAAAATTTTTATTTATTTCTATTCTATTTTTGAATCAGGTCTAAACATTTTCGAAACGTTTTTGTTTTTTATATCACCGAAATAAAATTTTGATCTTTGACTGCGCGTTTAACCTTTTTTTCCTTGGTTTTATTTATGTACATGAAAGTTGATTTATTTACTGCATTCCACTTGATGAGATTCGAACTTCGATATTTGATTCCTTCATATTTGTAATTTTACAACTACCCTTTTTTTTTTTTGATCAGAATTTTACAACAACCTTGAAAGATCAATTAAACTAAACTGTAAACCAATCCAACAACAGTTTCTCAAAATTGGATAGGATGCATGATCATGGTGTAGCAAAAATTTTCTCACAAAGACGACTTGTAGAAAAGACTTCTTAAGTTCGAGTTTTTATAATTTTTTGAGATCGGATCATGAAAAATTTATTTTTTATAAATATCTTACTCTCAATATACATGGACTATTTTTGACCGATCTTAAAAGAAAAATTAGTTAAAATTCACATAAACTCTGAAAAATCCCCGACCGTTAAACAAAAAAAAAGTATATCATAAACTTTGGGCCTCTTTTTAGTTTGCTTTAACCCAAATTGGTAGCCCAATTTAACCAACTTAGGATACAATAGTACTGTGACTTGACAAACCCGAAGCTGACAAATGGATTCGGGTCGTGTACTTTTATTCTTGCGCGCAAGCCACGAAATGATGACGTCAAAGCGAAAGCCGTGCCCGCGACGATCACTGCTATTCAATCTCGTCCAAATAAAACGGTATCGTTCGTTTTGTGAAACGACGCCGTGCTCCTATGGAGACAAACAGCCTACAGTGATTAACCGTTTCAACTACCATACGAAATTGACATGTTCTGAAGCCGCAGAGGCCAGAGAGAGAAAGAGAGATGGAGATGGAAAGGGAGGGTAGAAGGAGGAAAATAGTAGGGAGAAGCTCAGATCGAATGGCACTAATCACCGGCCGTATTGAAACCCTAAATTCTTCGTCATTGTCATCTTCAATCTGTCATCATTCACACACTTCATCATCCCCTGCTTCGTTTTCTCAAGATCCTCCTCCTCATGATCAGCCACAACCACCCAATTTCCACGGTACTCTCTCTCTCTCTCTCTCTCTGCGTAAATCTAATATGTATGCTATAGCTGTATAATCAATTGTTATCTTCGTTGTTGTGCCAAATAGAAGATTGTTGAATGGAGAATTGAATATGTACTTGATATAATTCAAGGCTAATGATGGGTCATTCTTTAACTATACGTGTGAGTGCATTTTTCTGTTTGCGGATGTATCAATTCGACAATTAAATGGTGAAACATGAAATCATACATAAGAGATGTGTAATGGATCGAGATTTTGTTAACAAAGGCGAAAGGAAGCTGTGAAACTCCGCATTGACTGAATTCTACGTATTGATTAATATATATAGAAGCAATGATTACATGCGATAATCAAATGCAGGACTTTATGACAAAATAATCCTCCGTATACAACTGATACAAAAATGAATATGTGATCTTTTGTCCATGTGATCAAAATTGGGTTGAATGACACAGAGGTTGGACCCAAACTGTTTGGGTTTTTCCGCGGTTAATCTTTTGGTGAAGACATCTGCGGGTTGATCATTGCTAAAAGATGGTGAACTTATGAATACCCCATGCAACTCTCTTCCTGACAAAAGGATTATAAATTACAATATGCTTCGTTTTTGCATTTTGGGTTGGATTGGCATCGAGATACGAGGCAGGTTACATGAGATAACAGAATAGAGGAATTAAATTTGCATGCATTATTAGTGATATTTTAAGGCATCATGGTGAGCAAGAAGTCGAATTTTATATCATTTTTCTTTTCCTTACTTATGGATAAAATGCTCTTGATAATAATCATACGCTGCAATGTGGCCTTTGACATTGTTGATATTGCCATTATAGATTCCAAGGGTGAAGTTGACGACTCTGTTACACCACTTAAACATGAGACTGCTGAGGGATTTTCAAGAGGAAATGCATTTGAATTCGGGAGCAGAGGAAAACAAATTGACACAAATACTGAAGCAATACGAGCTCCTGCTGTGGAATTCAGGGAAAGAGTAGAACTGTCATCTGTTGCTGCTAGAGTCCCAAACGCATCAGATTATACAGAACTATTATCAAAAGCATGTGGAAGATATCTCAACTTCTTCACTCTAAAGGACATAAATTCCTGCATCGTGGCTTCAGAAAATACAAGAGTTTTCTGTTCTATTATAATAGCAGTCTTGGTAGTTCTATCACATACCAACCTTCCTCGGAACATAGTGAAGTCGAAGAGCATCATAGCCTCAAAGCCCCTTTATGTTCTCTTGCTAACTGACCTTACTATTGTGCTTGCACAACTAACTCTTGAGAAGCGGAGAGACTCTGAAAAGGACAAGGAAGAAAAAGAAACAGTCTCACAAAAAGATGGACATAATTGGAGAGGAGCAATTAAGATTTTGGAAGTGGGATTAGTGTTGCACCAGACAATGAGGGCGATATTAATAGATTGCAGTTTCTATGTGGTAATAGTCATCTGTGGCCTTTCCCTCGTGTAGCCAAGTTGCTTTGGTTGTGGAGATGATCAGACACAGCTCCTTAGCTCACTCCAAGCGCTTTAGCAAATTATGCTTTTTCTGTTTGATTCTATTCATTCTTTTATTTCGACCAAATTGATTTGCATGATATTACTCCCGTTGTGTTTAATTGAATTGCCTTCCAACAAAAGGAAGCTTACTTGTTCTGCTATTCTATTGCTGAATGGCCTTACATTTTTTTGTGAGGAATCACACAATCCAGTTTATGCAATCATGAATCAGTAATTCTCCATGAGTATTCTGCTTTGAATTTCTCTCATAATGTGGTGAATTTACAATGTGTAAGACACACCATCAATTAGAAACTGGTTTGTCTGGCATTTATCAGTATGGCAACCATATTTTTGAGACAGTCCTTTGGACGTCTGCTGGAACCATGGACTGTTATATTATGCCATGCTCTATTGTGATCCTTATTTTCATGTCCATTAATCATTTATGTGAGCTTTGCTGTCCTCTTGGTTATTGCGCATCTTATGGAAACCTTATCAGTGGATTGCGTGTAAGTATGAATAAAATCCAGAAATTGGTCAAGTAATATATTTCTAACTTCAGAATTCAGATGCTAGTTAAGCTCATTACTTGCTCAACCTTAGGCGGTTGGCAGATGTAAGGAATCATCTGACCTAAACTTTCAGTTCATAGCAATTAGAGGATATGCAAGTTTTTCATAATTAGTAGATTTAAAGAATCGTCAATGGAGATAGTTTGAAACATAGTTGAGTTTTTGTGATTCACAACAATGATGAAGAAATGCCACAAGACTGGAGACACCAGAACTGAGGAATCGAACTTTCACTGATGGGAGAATAATAAATAGAACTTGGAGGCTAAATTTTTGGATAGGTAAAAGTTCCTGCGAAAATTAGATCAGTAAAAATCTCATCAAGAAGATTATCAAACAAAAGCTGGTTAATGGTGTCATGGTGATATGTGATTATTCACTCCTAGTCGTACAATCATAGTTCAAGAAAAAAACTGCTACTAGCTAAAAAGATACCACCATCCCCTTTAACTAGCTGGAAATTTTTGTTCATATCAAGCAAAAAAATTGTTTTCGAAACTAAAAGAGGATTCTTCCTATGAAATTATTTGTATTCATGCACTTTATGTTCCCTTATTTTTCTATCCATTTTTTCAGTTGTCTCTTTCCCATCCAGCCTCAATAATCTTTCGGATTCCAACTCAGCACCTTTTGAGGGAGATTTTGTTCAAATCTTCCTTTTCTTCCGAAAAAAAGGTAGATCTCTCTAGTTCCTATTTAGTTCCTTTTGTTTCGGAAGTTGATCGGAAAAGAATCAAGAGAAAAGAGAGAATCGGAATTGTACTTAAGCAAGAGCCTTTACTTACGCTCCTTTAATAAAGGTTAGTGCTTAAAAACAATTGATCAATGGACCAAATCAATGGTCAGCTTAAATATTCTTTCACAAAGAGAAACAGTGTTTGAAAGTTTCATCAGCCACTCTTGAACCCCATAAAGGATCATGTGTACTACTAAGTACTAAGTCACCGAGTTGTTCAATCTTGCCTCCCCAGGTTGAGTTTTTGCTAAGCTCCTAAACAATCGTTTCTCACATATGTTTTGCTGTTGTACATGCTCATTTACTTATGAATCAAGCATTAAGACAGATTTATCGAACAACTCAATTGAACCTTGTTCTAAATATTTGGAGTTGGCTAATACCAAGACAGTTGTTATTGCACCTCATTTCGGGGCGATACATTGTGGTCCACCAGCAGAACAACTCATTGTTATGAGACAGCTTGATCCTTATGCAGACTGATATGGCTGCACTATGACTTGTCTAATCCCATAAGCCCCACAGGAACCCTTGTAGATATAAGTTAGAATCAATACCATCAACAAGCATGCAAAAACATAAAGGCATCAGCTAGGGAGCCAGAAAACTTAATCTTCCTGCTACTAAAAAAGTGGAAGAGGCAAATAAAAAATATAAATATTTTTAAGGGCCCAAATATAAATAACTTAAAATCCAGTGCTAAAATTTTCAAATTGTTAGACCCTTTTTTTTTTTGGGAGTTGGGGGGGGGGGGGGGGGGCTCCTTCCCTGCCTCTCACCTAATCTCAAACAAGAAATTCCTAGATGGCATCTTTTATGTGTAGTTAATGGAGGGTTTTTTTTTTTTTTTTTGGGGGGGGGGGGGGGCAGACATTATTACAGGGAGGAATGGGATGAAGTTCGAATCACGACTTACTTTAAAGTCCAACGACGGAGCGGTAATCATTAAGCCAGCGTAGCTCAAAAAAATCATTTTGTTTCTCTTCGGCACATGTTTATCTGTACTTTTCTGGACAAATCTGGTGGTAACAGTCCATTTTTAAGGTTCTGACAATTCATTTAGTATAACTTCTAGAAAAAAATATTCATAGTCAAATAAAGCAGCAGGATTGGTTATCACTTGTCTACACTGCACACCCTAGTGTATTATAATCTTTCTTGCCTAGTCTGTCAAAACGAGATCATGACAGAAGAGGTTTGATTCTAGTATAATACACCAAACCCTTTAAATGCTGCATTTATTATGGGGAGGATGATTCGATGTTTGTTGTTTGAGATAGAATTCAACTCTTCTCATAACAAATATCAAGAACATGGGGAACAAAAAAGAAAAAATGATGCAGATTCCGTTTGCCGATAATTGCTCCAACTTACAATGGAAAAAAGTCAAGATAAGGTAGGCAATGATTACGTATATAAAGAATTTTCACTTCCTATCCCCATATCGATTTGGAGGGCTTTAAGACAATTAACTGTAGCGTCATAAAGCAACAAACAACATTGGGTGAGACAGCCGGAACAAAAAATTTTAGAATGACAGGAGATTCAAGTCATATCACGACGTCATAAAATGATATTAAAAATTGTGTTGATAACTCGAAGTTGACTCGAAGATGTCTCAAATGACTTGCCAAGTCGTGTGAGATTTACGTATCGTCTTAAAAGATGTTAATTCGGCACGACTTGACTAACCCATTTGAAACTTGAAATTTATAATTAATGTGAAATGTTGTTGTCTTAAAATATGTCGAATTGGATATACTTCAAACAACTTATATCGGTATCAATTGATACTTTCAACCTTAGACGGTGGAGGAGGTGGAGGAGACATGTTCACGAGGACATCCTGTACTCCGAACATAAATGAAGTTGGTGGTATTAGTGACTTGTTAGGATGGGTTGGGTATGATTTTTCATGCCTTACTGATTTGAATCTCCTAGATTGGCTAGACATGATGAGCCCTGTTGGTAAGATAAAGGGAATTCAATGAATGAATGGGGGGACCAAGTAACAGATTTGGACTATTTATGTTTTGACTTACAAGTCGAGCTGGAATCCACCATTAAGCCTTCATTTCAATGCTATCCAAATTAGCATGAAAATGAAATATTTTCAGAGATCTAAGTTAAGTAGAACCCTCTAAGTCGATTTTTTACCGATCCATCGTGAGGAATCTAGTACTATATTGAGAAGATGTGAATCTGTAATACTCATACCACATACCAAATCTCAATTAAAATAAAAAAATTTATTCAAATCATTTACAAGTAGTTAAGGGTTATCATTAATGGAGGTTAGAAATTCCATTGTTGGTTCTCAACGGCACATGTTTTTATGAATTCTATTTTCTGGACAAATCTGTTGGTATTAATGGACCACTTATTTATATTGGTTCTCAACAGCATGATTCGTTATCTTGCCTACACACCTTGCCGTATTATAATTTCGCCTAGTCTATCATACCAACATCATAATTCCGAAACTCAATGACGAAAACATAGAATAATTTTTATTTTTCATTATACCAAATTTTTTTACGGAAACCGTCTCTCTACTTATGGAGATAAGATTGTAGTTATTTGACTATCTCCAAACTCTGCAATGACGAGAGACTTATGCACTGGGAAGCTGTATTATACCAAAATCCTTTGAATGGGGCATATAATATGATATTGATGCTTCATTAATATTTCTTATATGAGATAGAATTCAACTCTCCATATATCAGGCAAAAAAAAAAGTGATGTAGATTCCTTTTGCTTTTCATGGGTTGCTTCTAATTCTATATAAAAAAGTCAAGATAAGGTAGGCCATGGTTACCTGTAAAAGAATCTCCATTTGCTTGTAAATCAAGAGAGAAAGAAGAAGAAGAAGAACACCACCAAGACGGATGTGGCGGAGGAGGAGGAGGGGAAGGAGACATGTTTGATAACATTAAATTAAAATGAACATTACATCTAAAATGGGGTCCCAAAGAACACAAGATCAAAATGACGCAAAGTACATTATTTTCTTAAATTTCTAATGCCATCCTCAAACCATTAAGCCATCCTGCTGAAAGATCCTTGATGGAACAGCAAATCGAGCCGAGAAGGATCGAGAGAGATCATCAGCATCAGCTTCATCAGCCCATGTCAAGCCCTGATCAAAATTTTGAGCATACGAATATGGATCGTATGTGAAACGAGCTGAACTTGAACAATCAAAAACCCTCTTCTTTTTCCTCTTCAACTTCCTCCAAAGCAATCTCCAAATGGGAGCTTTGGATACAGCTCCCGGCGATGAGTTAAACGTCGGAAATCGATAGTAGCCTCTCATCGAGTGGTTTCGGATCCAACTGATGTTTCCACTGCCTGGTTGGCACCATGTTCCGACGTCCATGGCAGTAGAAGGGCAGGGCAGTGTTTGTACTCTCAGATCTTAGAACTTGTAGTTTGGTCTTCTATGGCAAGGAGGCCCAAGTACATCCACTGGACTATATATAGGAATAAAATGATGTCTTTGTCTGATTTAGAATTACAGTGCTGGACATGTGAGTAGTAAAAAAAGGTCCAATTGGGAGGGAGAATGTGATTTTTTCAGGGGTAAATTTGTCATTTGGCGTGACTCATCGTGGGTATTGCCATAATCAGATTAATAGTAAATTACTAAATCATTATATACTTCCAGGCATTAAAGAGAGTTGACTGGCAATTAACAAATCGTGAATGGGCCTTGGACATGTGATTTACAGACCTTTTTATCACCCGGTCGATCATTTCTTCAATTAGAAAGGTAATTAAAGGATTCTTCAATTATTTTCAATTGCCAAAATTCATCGATATGAACAAATTTAATTCTTTTCAAATTTTCAAAATAAAAAAAAATATATTTTTAAAATATGACAAGAATTGCTACTTCAGATCAATCTCACTCATTCAAAAAGAATTGGAGAATAGCTTAATCTTATCCAAATAATAGATTGACTTTAGAAAAAAATTTGTTCCTAAACCATATGTAATGCTCCCATATTGCTAAAGCATTCAATTATCTTTTTTTTTTTAATTTTGATAAGTCTTTTAGGTCAGATCTTGAGGAATAAATTCTCATAAATATTTTAATTTCAACATAAATAATTTATTTTTGATCAAATTGATAAAAAAATTAATCAAGATATTTATAAATTAACCCAAACACTCAGACGGTTGAAACAAAAAAACAAATACAATGAACAATGCATTGCACATTATGCATAGTAGGTTGTACTTTTGCTAGTTTTGTTTTTCCAATTAAGTCACCTACCATGGGGGGCTTAGGAGGCCATTGGAGTGGGCTTAAGAAGGATTGGGAACAGCTGATTACTACTTTTAACCTTCAAAAGGAGATAAAGGTAAAGAAAAAAGTAAAAGATGGAAAAAAAAAAGGTGTTTTGTTATTTGAAAGCACTTATTAGAAAAGTGCAATTTTATTAGAACATAATTTATTGATCTAATTTACTGATTTAATTCACTATGACCTTTGGATTAACTGTAAGGTCCATCAAACATTGAAATTTGATGTTGATCCAATAATTTCAATAAAATCACATCATTAAGTCTATAAATTATATTAAATTTTTTGATCCAAATAACATTAGTCATTGAAAAATGCCAAAATGGGATTATCCCAATTGAGTAGACCATAGACGGGTCGGATGTAGAGGGGTACACGGTACACCCTTTCCCATGGAGTGCACCGGACGTACAAGTTATAACCGGTGACCAGCGCCTTGCCTGAGGATGATGCTACTCCAGCTAAAATACGTTAAAAATACATACGATGTGTAACAGATTCTCTCTCTCTCTCTCTCGGGTGTAATTTGGAGGGTTCAATCTGGATTTAATTAAAAAAAACTAAGTTCAGGACAATAATTTTTAATATATGCATTGGGCCTGATTAGAAAGTCCTAATTCATTTTCAGTTGAAACCTTACCGGAACTAGCATATTGGGTTCTAGAAAATCATCCTAAATTAATGAGTTTAGATTTAGCTCCGATTGAACACAAATTCTCTGTTGTGTAAAATTATATAAAAGCCGAATAAAACTCAAATTCAGGTCATAATTTGTGTAATTCGTGAATCACATTCAATTTTCACAAAATTTTAATTATTTATAAGTCAAGTTCAACTGAGTTCAAGTTGAGTTCAAAATGTTTTTGTGATTTGAATTGATCTCTCGATCGAGCTAATCTGTTCATATCTCTAGCTATCTCGTAAGGAATTGGCACAGGTTGGGATACCAAAAATAAAAGCTAAGGAATGTCAAGACTTTTTCTTCTCTTTTTTATGCTAATGATTAGAGATTTTCAGGTCAGTTTATTCGTATCTTAACTAATAACTTTTTTGGTACAATTAAAAACAGACCATTCACGTCAAAACTAAATCATTTACATCAAAACTAAAATATTTATAAAGAATAAATTTCTTATAATTTGACTTAAAAAAATACCAAAATTTAAAATCAACTATAAGGGGGTGTTTATGGGTCGGGTTACCAATGAGTCCTATTATCCGGCCCGAAACCCAATAGGCCTAATAATTGGCCTGCCCGAGTTCAATATCTTTAAAAAAAAAACTTGAGTTTGCCCACAAACCCATTACCCAACTCAAAGTTCGTCCCAATAACCCACCCAAAAAACCTGTTAAAAGCCCAGCCCATCAGTCCACCAACCTAGTAAGCCCAGCCAGTCCACCCTTCTTTGGAAAAATAATTATATTTTTAAACCCTTAAATTTAAAACTTTGAAATAAGTCTTTCAATGTCAGAATTTGTAGTTTTAAAAATTTAGATACTATAAATAATATTTTTTTTTCATGTATTAAATATATAAATTTTAAATGATAGATAAGTGAGTAGGTGTCAATCTAATTTTAATGTATTCATTCTATGGGATATAATTCAAAAATAAAATTATTCATTATTTTATTTTTATCCATTTTGACTCTACTTTAATTCAAAAATATTAAATTAAAAAAATATTCACTATTTTTAAATGAAGTTATATATAAAAAAAACTCTTGAGCAAGTCCACCCACAAGTCCACCAAATAGACTCACGGATTGGGTTACGGTAGCTTTCCCCTACCTGAAGTCTTGCTCGACCCAGTCGATAACTCACTTGGATAAGGACTTAAAACTATACTACTTAAGTCCGAACAAAAAAACTTTTGCGGGCCTAACCCGTTCCGGCCCATAAACACCCACCCATACTCAGCTAGATCAAGACTGATTACAGGGAAGAACATATCATTGTTTTGTCAGCTGCCTACAAACTAGGAAACCTACCGTTTATCTTACTCCACGAAATTCCTCCCAATTAAGAAAACTCTGTCTGTCTCTCTCTCTCTCTCTCTCACACACACACACAGACAGAGCAAGTAATATGCCAAAACTAAGGACAAAATTTGGCAATTTTTCTTGCAATATCATTTTCGAACTTCCCAAACTTTGGACACCAACAAAACATTAACAAGTGGTTGGAACCTTCGTTTGGCGCGTCACCACGAAATTTGGTCATAGGTACCAATACTAAGGCCAAGTGTCGACAATGACTGCAAGATCTCTCTCTCTCTCTCTCTCTCCCTCTCTGCAGATAAGCCTCATCCCCCATAATCTCATCACTATTTTATCACCACCCACAGATAGCGCGTGGGTATTGAACGCCCAGCCCAATAGCAAAGCTAAAGAGAAAAGCAATCCCTTTCTGTGATTCAAATCCAAAGCTTTTTGTTATACCCTATATTTTCTTGTTCTTCCTTTTAAGTACTTACCCTCTTGTTCAATCCCAATCATTTCTTCTTAGAAGAAAAGATGTGTTACCCAGCTGTTTATTGGGTTTGTTTAATTGAGTCATCAGGGCATCAAGGTAGGGGATTGGTGTTGCAGGCAGCAACGGCGGTGGAAGAGGTTGGGAGGCAACAAGCACCAGTTGACATACATGGAATAGCTAGTGGAGGTGGAGGTGCAGGTGGTGGTGTGATGAACCAGTGTGTATGTTCACCCACGCGCCACCCAGGTTCATTCAAGTGTAGGCATCACCATACAGAATATAAATGGGTTGGTCGACTGGGGGCCAAACCCAGATTGTAAGTAATGTTTCATTCGAAGTAATAATCAATCACATCTGGCCCAGCCCTGTGTGCTGTATGTTTTTTTGTCTCTACTGCTGCTAAAATGATGCTCTTTCACTTTCTAAGATCTTACAAACACAACACAAATCAATTGTCACCCAAATCAATTTGTGTTGAGTAAAAAATAAGCTTCTCTCCGTCTCCCTGTCTTCCAAGTCTTTGTAAAGAACTTTATCAGAACAGCTCATTCGAACATCAAATTGATTTCTGATGAAAAAGATTACGTATGTGTAATATATATATATATTATATTTAGCTAATGTTTCCCACAACTATGATCCTCCTGGTGATATATTTACACGACCAGTCGGGTAATCAACTTCCATATTCACATAACCCAACATCTCTACGAAGGAGCATATACGTATAGGGTTCCAGAGCAACGTTGACCCCTGCTTCTACCGCAGCTCCACCTCCCATGTCATCACTGAGCAGACAAACATTATGGTTAGTAATAGATACGAGGTTAGATGGGGAAGGCCGATTATATTTTAGCTCAAGAATAGCTTTTTAATTATGTAAGTAAGCTCAGAAACAAATCGATTTAGCTTGCTCAGAAGAGAAGCGATGTCTTACCTCAGGATAACAATTTTGACGGAAAACAGTTTGGTTGTGCGTATTTACATAGACTTCGCATGACACCTTTGCCTGTTGAATGAATTATACAGAAATAAGAAATGATGATATGAAAAATGAGTGAATAAAAAAAAGAAATGATGATCTTCAAAATGGGAAGATATGAAAAATGAGTGAAATCAAAATTCACAAGTTCGGATTACTAAATACTAACAGGCCAACTCACAGCAAGTATTTGATCGGAATAACGCATCGCAAGAAAGTGAGTGATATTTATGTGTGTGCATAAGGATTCAAATTTTGTTTCGGTGTATTGTTTCAGTCATCTAGGAAAACAAAACGTTTCGATCCGTTTTGAAAACATAATGAAAAAAAAAAAATTCAAGAATTATTTTTTCAAAATATTGGTCAAAATATATCAAAAAATCTTAAATACATTGAAACATTCCGAAACAACTGTGCAAACACATTGAAATATTACAATATATCTCAAAACATTATGGAATACCTCAAAATATTAGAATTTTGATTCTATCACCGATTCGTTACGGTCTCTTTTGAAACGAAAACATTTCGAAAGTTTCAACCATTTCAAAGCGAAAGTTTGATCCTTGTGTGTGCACAGCATTTTTTATGCATAGAAGTATGTCACAAAGTAGGAACTATTAAGTCTATGCCACCCAATTGCATACCACTCTTCTGCCAGAAAACTCATCCAAGGCAGTTGGTAAAGACTATCTGCTTATTTTAGTTCTCGTTCGGGTGTTTTATGGAGTGAATAACAATAGATCATGCAAGCAGTCAGAAGTTGGCGCTGATAGGGCCAGCTCAGAGGAACCCTTGTAATAAAATTCCACCAAGGCTAGCTTGATCCTCTCGTGTTCTAACTGTGCAATGTTTAACCATTGTACTTGCACCAACAGACAGCACAAATCTATTGGACAATTAAACTTCTAATCATAAGTTCCTACAGACATCCTTCACATTTCATTGAAGCAAAGTTAGTGCTCTTAAGCTTAAAGCAAGAGATTGAGAATAACATTTTAAGCAAGGATATATTCCTTCTTAAATTCTTGTAGCTTTAGAAGCATTGCTCACGGAATCATTTTCTATTGTGTAGTTATTTACAAGTTTCCTAAGCCAGGACAAGGGTTCACCGGACTGCACCTAATAACTAGGCAAGTAAATCAATAACTAGACAGACACCCAAAGAGCACTTCTCCACATCAAATCTTCAAACTCTGCTGCTTAATGGTTTACCCAAAAAATATTCATGGGTTTCTCTTAGCCATCTACCTTCATTATCACTCCAAATTATTAGTACACAATTAACTAAAATCACATTCCGCATATGCTTCTAAATCCATTACATTTTTTCGATCACTAAAATTCACATCTCAGTATTACTCTTAACAAAAGATGAACCTCAACATTAGTTTCATCAACAGAAAAAATATGAGAACTAGTGGTTCAAATAAATTCATATCTCAGTATTACTTCTAAATATGACCCTATTTTTTAGAAAGTATGAAACACGAATACGGATATAGATACAATATAATGCTAATATGCCAACAAAATCTAAAAAAATAAGTATGATGCAGTTAAAATGCGACTATAATAAAATCTATTTCATATTTTTATTTGGGTTAATTGTAAGTTGCACCCCAAAAGATAGTGAAAATTTTAATTTGTACCCCTAAAGATCAAAAATCTCAATTTGTACCCTTAAAGATAGAAATTTGTATTAATGTGCACAAAAAAAAAAATCTCAATTTACACCCTCAAAGATAAAAATTTGTATCAATGTGCATTTAAAACTAAATTGATAAATTATACTTAGATCCTCTCATGCTTGTCACTTAATCATTTGGACCACTTCACATTTAGAATATTACTCCTACATCTCATGACGTTTGTGCACGTGTAACATGTAATCCCTTTTCATTGATATCTGTTAATTTAACCGATAAAAAATATGATTTTATCCTAATAAAAAATTATAATTTCATATTACCCTTCATTTTGTGGGTTCGATATACTCTAAAGTTCAAAATCAAGTTTATCATTGGACATTATAATTTTTCATTAGGATAAAATTATATTTTTTAACGGTTATATTAACAGATATCAATAAAAGAGAGTTACGTGTTACACGTGCACAAACATTATGAGATGTAGGAATAATATTCTAAATGTGAAAGGGTCCAAATAATTAAGTGACAAGTATGAGAGAATCTAGGTATAATTTATCAATTTAGTTTTAAGTGCACATTAATACAAATTTCTATCTTTGAGAGTGCAGGTTGAGATTTTTATCTTTGGGGGTGCACATTAATAAAAATTTCTATTTTTGAGGGTGTAAATTGAGATTTTTGATCTTTGGGAGTTCAAATTAAAATTTCAATTATCTTTCGGGTGCAACTTACAATTAACCATTTTTATTATGTGGTAATTTTTTAGCATAATTAGAAAAATTAGCAAATGTTTAAGATTCAAAGAAGTATATATCGTATCATCATAATATATTTACAAAGTGAAATGACTAATTAAAGGAATGAAAACTAATATTTATTTAGTTGGTTTGTTTAGAAGTATTTGTTACTAAGATTATATTGTAATATATTCATTTTATGTTATTTGACATATAATAATAAATAATACATGAAAAATAAACAGGTGTCTTCAAATTAATATGAATTTTTGTAGCTGTATTATTATATATTATGTGAATTCAAAAGAAGAAGTTAAAGATTAAATTCAAAAATTATACACGTTACTCGAATATAAAAGTATCCGCGGACTATCCAAATATTTTATTAATATTGAATAAGTAATAGGTGTATCCGATGCATATTATAGAGTATCCTCTGAGTATATTATTCAATATGGATATGCCGACTTCAAATTTCCTTGTTTCATAATTTAGAAGTAACCTCAAAAAATACGAGAACTAATGGTTCATGGGAATTCAGTACCATATCGCCATTTACAACTTTTGTGAGTGTTTTTGCAAAATTTTAAGTGGTAAAAACAATTACTATATAAATGATAAAAACCCTCATAAAAATTGTAAAAATACCAATAAAAGTTATAAATTTTTTTGGTTGTAAAAATGAACCCATAAAAAGTTATAAAAACACTCATTAGACCATCTCTAATGGAACCAAACTCTTACCCAAAATTGAATAAAAAAATGGTAAAAAATATGATTTGATATAGATATTTTTGGAAAAATTTAAATTTAAAAAAAGAGAAATTCAAATTTAAAAGAAAGTAAAATATAATTCATGGATCTTTAAAGGATGATAATTCTTACTATTATTCGATGATAAATTTGAGTCTTTCCGGAGTTGAATAAAAAAATGAGTCTCCATTAAGTTAAGTGACAAATTGAGTCTCTTTTGATTTGATACGAATAGATCTAATATTGAAGAAGGTATATTTTAGAGTTCTTTACCCATTTGAGTTTAAAAAAAAAGGTAAGGATTAGAGGTGATCTTAATGTTGTAAAATTACGAGGTAGGATATTAAATTTTTTTTTTCCGATACCGTCGTCTTCTCCGTGGTTCATGGTGTGTTTGTAACTACAAATCCAACATTGCAATTATGGATAATAATTTATCAAATAATAGACTTACATTAAGAGGAAATTCAAAGAAGAACAACCCGAGCTGACCTCGGACCTGGGTAACCGTATCGATCGGAACAGAACCTTTAGCCAAATCTTCAAGCAAAAAAATCACATCAGACAGAATCCCAACACCATCAAGCACAAGCGTAGCGTTGATATACGAAGACCCTCTAGCTTTGACGTGCCCATTATCAGATGTGATGAACCCTAGCTGCTTTCCCCTATAACCAACGGCAACAGTTAGGGAGTCGTAATCAATTGAGTAAAAATCTCTGTTGCGGACTTTGACGATGAGGTCTAATGTAATGTCCAAGCAAGGAAGTGGGCGAGTGCGGATTTTGAGGCGGTCGAGGTGAAGGCGGACAATGGAGAGATATGGGTCGGAGGGCCATAGGAGGTAAATGACGGAGGCGGCGAGGAGGAGAGTGGTGGTGCAGAGAATGATCCGCTGCCGTTGGCGGCGGCGATGAGTTGAGGAGTGGTTGGGTAATATGATGACGTAATTCTGGGGTCGGTCTTCTGGAGGGAGATGGTGGTAGTAGATCCGTGGTGAGTCGGAGGGTTTGGGTTTTGCAACGGCCATAGACTGGGGTGTGGTGTGTGTGGGTGGCACAGAGAGAGAGACAGAAAGAGAGAGAGAGAGAGAGAGAGAGAGGTTGTTTGGGTCCGTAGATGTAAGAGGAGTGTGTGTATTGGGCCCAATTATTTGGTGGGGCCCGAGAGGAAGGTGTGGGGTGGGTCACAGGTTTTCCAATGCTTGTTGGTTTGCCCTTTATTACTTTATTTTTTCCAAGAACCTACACTTTATTTTGGTGTGGGGAAAATGATGGATGTTTTCTCGTTTTCTTTTGACCTCTTTGTTTTTTGATTGAGAGGGGTCACATAATCATGACTATGGTATATGTACGAATTAAGGGTACATTTAGTTTGAGTATAAACAAAGAATTTATATAAATAATAATAATATTATTAATAAGAGAATGTTGAGATAAGATATAAATTTATAATTATAATATTAAATTTATGATTGGATTAAGTAATAGTATAACGTATTAAATTAAAAATGATAAAATAAATATTGATTACAAAAGTTTGCATATTGTGTAACTTTTATACTAAGACGTGTATCTAGGTTTGTAAGGGTAATAAAATTATGAAAAATTTGGAGGTTGGTCCTCTATGTGGACTTATTTGAACTTAAATCCGCCAAAGAAACTTATTTATTATGAAATTTATTTTTTGTCAATTTTACCATACTATACATTCTTTTTAAAAGTGAAATAAAACTAAAAACTAAGAACTCATAAATTTTAGGAAGTTGACTAACATTAAAATTATTTCACTAATGCTATTGGGACCTAATTTAGGAATATAATGAGTTGTCACCAATGAAATGATAATGAAATATATTTAATGATTGGTCATATTGTAGCATTAAATAAATTGAGCATCATTTCATTGGTAACAACTCAATATGTCCTCAAATTATGTCTCAATAGTATTGTTCTTATTATTTATCTCTCGTATATATCTACTAGTAAAAACTTGTGTCTGAAGGCACTAAGCAACTCAAAAAACCTCGATCACCGGTTATGCAATATAAATATTTTAAAAAAAAATTATTTATTTATTATTTTCTTTAGTTACACAAATCAAAATTAATTTAAAATATTTTTTAAAAATTTTGTCAAAACTTCTTTAAAAACACGACTCCTAAAAAATATCAATATTTACACAATTTATATATTTAATCATTATACCTAAAAAAATATCTTTTTTTTTTGTAGGAGTCGATATTGACATGTGTGTGTTGGCGAATATACAGAGAGAGAGTTATATAAGAGATGTGATAAACTTATGAGAAATGAAAATATGATATAAAGAGAGAGTAGAGTATTAATGGGTATTAGATGTATTATGTTATTATTAAATATATATATATAGTCGTCCAAGTCAAACTCTCAGAAGATAGAGTTATATGAGAGATGAGAGTGTGTGTAAGAGAAAGAGATATAAAAGAAATAAAAATCCAATTAGGATCATATAGATATAGATATAGATAGATAGATATAGGATGACATACTTGGACAAAGCTACACAGGGGCAAGGGTGGACACGGGTCCATCCTCAATTTTTTTTTTAAAACATGAAATATATTTATTTATTTATTCTAAAAGTTATACACATATATATAATTATTTAGTCTTTTTATTATAATATGACTTTCTTCAGATGACCTTCATTTTATTATGAATTTTTGCAAGTGAAAATGTCTTCAATTGATTTTCATTTGATTTTGTTTTTTCTACGAAAAATTATCTTTTTATTTTTATTTGAGTATTGATTATAGTCTTTATTATGTGCCAATTGATTTTTAATTTTTTTACTATGTCTCTTAGATTTTAATTTAATAGTTTTATTATACTAATATTTTAGTGATAATGTTTAAAACATCGTTTATTGAATAAATTTAATAGATTGTTAGTGCATAACTGATATTTTTTAATTATAAAATTGACAATTTGTTTCACTTTTTACATTGTTTATAATTAGTCAATTTTTTATACATATATAATATTTGGGTAGGAATAGATTAGATGAATTTTGATGATATCTAAATCATATATTTAAATTTTAATTAAATCTTACTTATTCTTCTCTCTTTTAAAAAAAAAAATTGAAAGTATTAATTTTAATTTTGAAAATTTAAAATTGCCTCTATATTGTTAGTGTAGATAGATATATATAGATATACAACTGTCTAAGTCAAACTTTCCAATAATTTAAAATGGGAATGATGAGAGATAAAAAGAATGTAGTAGAGTCTTAGTTAATCTCTCCAATGTTTTGAATGAAGATGAAGAGAGATAAAAGAAAATGTAGTTGAGTATTGTTGGAATGTAGATTAATTAGGATCGTCGGATCAATAATATTAAATCGATCTGAACCGTCTTTTATGTTGGTATTACATTGTCCGTTGAATGTGTTTATGTTTTTGTCTCAAAACGATCTGAATCTCTCTTTGCTTTTTGGATTCAAACTTCGTTCTAGTTTATTATATAAATTTTCATATATAGGTTATGACTATAGTCATTGCCTATGTTTGAAGGCATTATACAACAAATAAAAAATCCTAAACAATTATCCAAATTTAAAAAGAATGGCTTAAAATATTCATATCAATTCTTATTTTAAAATGACTCAAAATATATTGTGAACCGTATCTTCTATATTAATAGAACTATCATAAAAATATATAAAAACTTCTCAAAATAATATCATATATATAATTGTCTCTTAAAAAAATACTAACATAACTCATTGAAATTTATAATTTTTAAGTAATAAATAAAATCTTATTCATTTATAAAACTCACGAATTTATGACTTTCACTACTACTCAATCCAATAATATAATATAATTATAAACTCAACCACCATATTTTCAATCCACCTTATCCCCATATAATAAATACCCCAAGTAAAAAAAAAAATTACTAACATAACACAATTATATTCACAATCTTTAAACGATAAATAAAATCAACCATATCTTATTTACATATAAAACTCATGAATTTATCGTCACTATCACCATTCAACCCCAAATGACACAATATAATTATAAATTTAATCACTAAATACACCCACCCACATTTCTTTTTTTGTTAACAACAAACTCTTCAAACCAATAGTTGTTTAAGTTTTTAAGATAAAATAATAATAAATTAATGTTTAATTAGAAAAATGGTAAAAATCATGGACAACTCTTGAGTTTTGAATTCCATAATGTTGCTAACAGAATTCATTGCACGGAGACCTCGTCTATCAATCTTCCTTAATGTTTCGAACGGAAATTGATAATTTCATTCAAAAAAAATTTATTATTTTTAAAATTTCCCTTATTCAAATTTAGTGCAAAAAAATTAAAAATTTAATTAAATCAAATAAAATTTGATTTAGTACCCAAAAATTGATATAATTTAGTATTCCAAAAAATTAATTAAATGAATTATAATATTAATTTGATAAAAATAAAAATTAATTTGATATTAATTCGACAAAGTTTACTATAAATTGAAAAAAATTGAATGTCAATTTTTTAATAAAATTATATATTGATTTACAATCTGAGGTTTACTTTGTGTTAAATATTATTTGATATTTAGAATCAATGTGCTATTTTTTATTTATATTAAGTGTTATTTATAAATTAAAAAGCAAGTGGCAAAATACATGTCGTTATATATATAAAAATTTTAAATTAGTTTCATGAAATAAATAATTGTATAAGATGTTGTTTTATTTGTTTTACGGGGTAAATAATAACAAAACCAAAATTAAAGAAACAAAAAAAAAAAGATAATAGTATGAGAGGGAATATAAGATAGATAGATACAAAGAGTTTTATGACAAATGAAAGTCTTAGAATTGTAAAATAAATTTAAGTCTAATTAGGACTATCTGATCAAAACGATCTGAGTCACAAAAAGCAAAAGACAAAAAAATTTAGCTACTTTATTATATATACTAGGGTTAACCCGTGTCTGAAGGTACAGTGTAACTAAAAAAAATTACTGATTAAAAAAGTAAATCCCTATTCTTTTTTTTTACTAGCCAAAAAAGTGAATCATGGAAGGAATATTTTAGCTACAACCGATTAAAGTAACTTGTGATCCATCATAAAATAATATGATCTATTTTAAATTACCCCTGTAATTGCTCTTTTGTAATGTGTAATTTGATTTTTAATCATAATATTTTGAATTGCAACTCAAACCATTTTGAGTTGTAACTCACACCATTATGAACTGTAACTTCATTTTTAAATATCGTAACTTTTAGTACAGTACCAATATAGTTATAGTAGTCGAACAATTAAGAATGAAGAATTGAAAGGAAAAACCCAAAATATAATCCAAATGCTAGCATTGAACTGAAAAATATCAATAACTTGGCCCTACCGAAAGCCATGGTGAGAACGCTGTAAACAATCTGCATAACTGCTAACACAAATATGAATATATGAAGCTGGTGAATCCCTATTTGGCTCATCAATGAAACCTTTCCTTGCAAAAATTCAAATTGAAGCAATCAGTTCCCCTCTCTCTGTATCTCTCTATCTCTCTCACACACACGCATACGCACACGCAACATCTTGAGTTTAAACTGATGAAATTTGATAGAGAAACTTTCAAAAGTATCAAGAACTCTAGAAAAGACCCTTCCTAAGTTCAGAAAAATTGAATAAAATGTTGTCTATGGATAACAGTGTTGGTGACAAACGTAATCTAGGAACACTTACGAGCACATCACCACCACAACCGCTATGATCGTATTTGTCAAGGAGAATATACTTGGAGACATACTTTAGAACTGTAAGAATCAAAAACTGCAGTACTGGCTAGTTGTCCATGTGGAATCCATGAGCTACTATTATACGAACCACCCAACAATAATGAAAACTTTATAACACCAGCGCTGAAGTCCTCATAATCTCCCACTGTGTATTTTGTGTTGTGGTGGTGTTTTCTTTACGGGATGGAAGCATTATATCTGCTATCTTTCTTGATACACAGATCT